GTCTTAGATCCTTGCATTGCTGAGAAGGGTTAAGTCTATCAACATTAGTCATCGTACAGCATGGCTGTTGCTGTGTGTAATGTTCTCCTGGTTCTGCTCACTTCACTCAGCATCAGTCCATACAAGCCTTTTCAGGTTTTTCTGAACTCTGCTTGCTCATCATTTCTTATAGCACAATAGTATTCCATTACATTCATATACCACAACTTGTTCAGCCATTCCCCAACTGATGGATATCCCCTCAATTTCCAATTCTTGGCCACCATAGAGTGAGCTGCTATGAATATTTTTGTACATGTGGGTCCTTTTCCCATTTGCATGATCTCTTTGGGATACAGCCCTAGAAGTGCTATTGCTGGGTCAAAGGGTATGCACATTTTTGTAGCCCTTTGCGCACAGTTCCAAATTGTTTTCCAGAGTGGTTGGATCAGTTCACAATTCCATCAACAATGCATTAGCATTCCAATTTCCCCACATATTCTCCCGCATTTCTCATTTTCCTGTTTTGCCGTATTGGCCAATCTGATAATTGTGACGTGGTACCTCAGAGTTGTTAGTCTTTTAGATTCTAATGGGGATGCCCAGGACCACATCGCTATCACAAACTCCTTCATTGTGCATAAAACACAGAAACCATTCTTCTCTAGCCTCTCTAGCTGTGGTATTGCTCGGCAGGGCACCCTAATTCCCAAGTAACTTGGACTGGGGACTTCCCCTATGAAATTTCATCTACGTGTAATATAGATACTCAAAACCAGCTAATGTACGTGGGCCTGACTGTGGGTGGCTACAGTTTTCCAGGGCTAGAGTTACTCTAACAGAACATGTCAGCTGTAGTTTGTGCATTTGTGTGAGGACATCCAGAATCACTGCTCCTTTCTTGGAGTCTGCCTCCTGTGAATCCCTGGGTACCTCCACTGCGATTCTTTCCCCTATATCATAGCTATTCCCTATTGTACTTCCTTTGTCAATTCACATGGAACTTGCAGATTTTTTTTCAGATGAATTGATGATGTTCAACCATATTCTTCCCTTCCCCTCAATGTTCAGCATGTGAACTTGATTTTTCAAACCCAAGTGTAGGATTTTACCTTCATCCTTATTGTTGTGAGGAATCTCTTTGGCCACCCGCCATATTCCCTTTATGCTGGAGGGTCGGAGAGATGCATTCTTTGGTCAGAGAGACTGTGGGGAGACTGGTCTGGATTACATTTGCTATGATGCTTTGGAGCCAGAGACACTTCCTCATTGCCCATCTTTGCAGATACGGATTTCTGTACCCCTGCCTAGCTAGGGACTTGAGATGAGGTTGTCAACCTGTTTGGAAGAGCAGGAGCAGCAATCATTTAGTGATGAGTGAAGGCAACAGCACCATGACCCATATGTGGAACAGAATCCCCCTTTTGTATCCATCCGGTGGAAGTCTCAGACTCCATCTGTTTCTCAGTTTCCTAGGGCTGTGACGTGCACCCATGGTGATAAGTGGAGGGGGAGAGTTAGCAGCTCCAGGTTCAGGAGCCACAGAATCAGACTCTTAGAACTGGAAGGGGCTCAGCAGCCATCTCATCCATCCCATACTCCTAAAGGAAGCTCCATACAACCTACTTAGCATGTGGTCCTCCTGTCTCTGTCTGGGGACCTCCAGGATGGGGGAAACCACCTCCTTTTGAGGCAGCTCGGGAACACTTTTGGACAGCTCTCATTGTGAGGAGTTTCTTCTGACATCAAGCCCAAATTTATCTCTTGGCAACCTGGTTCTGTTTCCGGTGCCTGTTTGGCACATCTAATGCTCATTCCCTGTGACAGCCCTTTAAATACAGAGCTTATCCCTCCCATCCTCCACCCTTTGAGCCTTTTCTTCTCCCGGCCAGACATTCTCAGTTACTTAAACTGACCTAAAGCCCTTCAACCATCCTCATTATCTTCTTCCAGATGGTCAATATCCTTCCTTAAATTGTGGCGCCCAGAAGTGAACATAATAATAGTCCAAATGAGTGGGATCCAGGAGGCCTTCAGTGGGATGATCCCCACCCTGTCGCTAGAAGCCAGGTCCCTCTAAATGCAGCCCAAGGTCCCATTACCTTGGCCACACAAGAGTCACATCTCTGGAGCAGAGGAGTCCTGCCCTGTCTTGGTATTAGAAAGTCACTTCCTACATTGGAGACCTTGTCCAATAAACTCCAGTGGCTCTCTGTCCTCTCCAGAATCACATCTAAAGTCCTCTGTTTGGCTTTCCCAACCTGCCCCGTCTCCCAGTGTTTAGTCTCCTTACACCTTTAAACCCATCCCTCCCCTCCCCCACCCAAGTCCCATCAGCCTTCTCTACCCCCCTGATTGGGGGGTGGAGTCATGAACTCAACCTCCATTTAAAGAGGGGAGGTGGGAGAGACTTGTACATCTGTTATTTCTCATCCAGTTGTACTTATTCTGGATTTTTTTTTGACTTCTCCACCACATCTCTGTGCCAGATACTTCCTCCCTTCCTCTCCCCACTGGTGTTTCAGCCTCTTTTGTGTTGTGTCTTTCCACATTAGATTATAAACTCCATGAAGGCAGCGACTGTTTCTTTTTTTTTTTTTGTACTTGTATCCCCACTGTGCTTAGCATCAGGCCTGGCACACAGTAGGCTCTCTATAAATATTTGTTGACTATTAATAAATCTTTATAGACTGTGATTCAATGTCATTGGCTTTCTTGCTGTTTCTTGTCTAAGATGCCCCATCTCCCAACTCTGAGCACTTTCCTGGGCTGTCTGCCATGCCTAGAATGCCCTCCCTCCTCCTCTCCAACTCCTCACTTGCTTGGCTTCCTTCAGCTCCCAGCTAAAATCCCCCCCTCTTCCACAAGAAGCACTTTCTGATCTCTCTTAAGTCGACTGCCTTCGTTCCACAGTTATCCCTTTCTATATCCGCCTTTGTACACGGTTGTTTGCATGTTATCTCCCCCATCAGACTGGGAGCTTCTTGAGGGCAAGCCTTGTCTTTTGACTTTCTTTGTATCCCCAGGGCTCAGCACATAGTCTAGTACATAGCAGATATTTAATACATATTTTCTGACTGCAACTTTCTTTTCTCCTTCTCAAGGGACCCTAGAGGTTCCTCCCTAACAGAAACAAGTTTCTCACTGGACTCACCAGGGCCTTCTTCTTCAGGGAGAAGGGGATGTCTTGTGGGAAAACGCTATGGTGCTGCATGGACCTAGCCCTGTGTGGCTAAGAATCCTGACCTGTTGCTTAGAAACTAAATTTGTTTAATTTAATTTGTTTAATTGTTCAGTGATTAACTCAGGCCCCAGTTGTGCTGACCAGAAGCCCAGTCGGATCCAAAGACTGATGCAAGGAATGGAAGGAGTTTTCTCCTGTTACCTACCTCAGGCAACCCACACGGTGGGATCTGCAAACTGCCTCTGGTCTGGCCAGTCAGAGCCTGCATCCTCCTGCCTTTGTTTGAATGCTATAAATCACTGTCAGCTATGACACTCAGTGGGGGGGGGGCACCCCTTTCCAGCTCACCCTTCTGCTGGATGACTTCATGAAACTTTTTAAAAAGTTATTTCAGTTCTGAGCTTTGTTCTCCTGGAGGTCACCGTCTCCACCCCACTCTTCTAGCTGACCTCTTACTGTTTTTCATCCTCATGTAGACCCTCTGTGAATCATAGCATGGCTCCTCCATGCCCCTTTCTACCCTGCACCCTCCTGTCCATCCATATGGAGGCAGAGATGCAGTGTGGCATGTGAGGCATTGCAAAGAGGCTGTGAAATGTGGGAGGGGGAGAATTTCTGTGGAATCAGCCCAGAAAGATAGACTCAGGACAGATTTTGGAGGGCTTTACATTCCAACCAGAGGAATTTGCCTTTCATCTTAAAGGCAATGGGGAGTGACTGGAGTTTCTTGAGGGGGAGCAGAACTTGTCAGAGCTATGCCTTAAGAATTCCCATTGGGTAGCATGTGAAGGTGGACTGGAGAGCAGAGAGGCTGGATGTGGAAAGGTCAGGAGGAGGCTTTTGCCCTAGTCCTGGTGAGAGGTAATGAGTTGCTACCTGAGGCCACGGTCATGTGAGTTGAGAGAAAGGGAGGGACATGAGAGATGTCCATGGAGTGAGGCGAACAAGTGTTAGGGACTGATGGGGTATGGGGGAAGCTGAGGGTGCCTCCAAGCTTCTGAACCTGGTGGCCTGGAAGGAGAGGGGACCTGCAGTAGAAACTGGACTCCAAAGAGGAGGGGGAAGGAGAATGACCAGTAGCCAGGCTCTGCTTGGTTTTGATTTGAATGTGTTGATTTGAGAAGCCAAGAGAGAGAATGTTAGAAAGAGAATCCACATTAAATCAAAATTCACGGTCAGTGGAAGAAGCGATAAGAACTGAGAATGTCAATGGGGTGGCTCTGACTGTTTCTGCAATTCAGTGTCGTAGACAGCTTAGATGCCAGCTCCCAGCCCTGGCTTCTGGGCACAGGCTTCCCAGCCCTGTCCCCCATGCTGCCTCCTTTAGCATTTAATTAATTCCTCATCCTCTTCAGCTTCTTCCTTCACATACCTTCCATCTCCTGATGCCCCAGAAACATGGCTGTCTCCTGATCATGCTGGCCCCCTTGGCACCCTCTTCACTACTGGGCAAACCTCTGCTCCCTCCTACACTGGGTGGGGATGGGGGGGTCTAGGCAGGCTCCTTGCTCTCTGCTGCCCCCCTACTCTCTCTGTCAACATTACTCTGAGGAGGGGGAGATGCCACCGGGGGAGGGCAAAGTGAGCCTAGGAAGAAGGTGAGAAAGAATGTTTCGAGTGGGAAAGAAGAGGAAAAGGGAAAAAAGGATGAGAGGGGCAAGGCTAAGGAGAGGGGGAGGAGGGATGGATGCTGCCAGAGAGCTTCTCAGGAGGGCCAGACCCCCCTGTCTCCCCAATTTCTCTGGACAGACCATGGGCCCTGGAGCTGGGGGTGTGACAGACAATTGTTGTGATCACATCCTGTGGCTTGGGTCACAGGAGGCGCAGGGCCTAGAGGCAGTCCCACTTCCTCTTTCTCCTTTCTTCATGACCCTTTGTCTAGGCAGCTTAGATCAGGGCTGAGGGTCCAGCATGGCCCCCAGAGTCACCTCTCTGCTGTGCCTTGGTGAGTGCCAGGGCCCCAGGCTGGGCTGGAGGGAAGGAAGACTTTGAGAAGGTCCTTGGACAGAGGCTACATGGGACAGATGAGGACACTGAGGCTGGGGAGAGGCTGCCTGCACAGAACAGAGCATTGTTACCTTCCTTTTCCTGGTAGTTTGGCCCAGGATGAATGAGTGGGGTGGGAGTGGGGTCCAGAGGCATAACTACAGACAGCTGAAGCTGGGGGCAGGATCACCTGTAACCCTGAGCCTCTCCTTCAGGCCTGTGTCTGAGCCAGAAGATCACAGCTCCAGAGGGTGAGTCCTTCCCCTCAAGGTGCCCCTGCCAACCTTCCAGCTCAGTGCTACCTCCAAGGCAGCCAATGCTGCAGAGAGGGGGGAAGGGAGGGAGGTGCCTTTTCTGAGCTGAAGGGGATGCCTGTGGTTGGGAGTGCAAGGGCTGGGGGCTGGAACAACACCTCGGAGGGCAGGGCTCTGAAATCCAGGCCCTGATTCCCTTCCAGGGACACTCCCCACACCCTCCATTAGGGCTGTGCCCAGCTCTGTGGTCCCCAAGGAGGCACGGGTGAGCTTCTATTGCCAGGGCCCACAGGGAAGCAGGAGTTTTCAGCTTTGGAAGGATGAAGCATTCTTACTCCAGATAAATACCTCCAGAGAAGAGGCTGCGTTCCGCCTTCAACCTGAGGGACTAGTGGCTGCAGGCAGCTACAGCTGCCGCTACTGGCAAGGATCCTACTGGTCAGAGTTCAGTGCACCCCTGCAGCTGGTGGTAACAGGTAAGGAGAGCCCAGAATCCTGGCTCGGGGCAGGGGCTGGTCCTGACTGCTCAGCCCCAGGGGCCTCCCTGGGAGGTCATTTCCCCCCTCATAGCCCCACAGACCCTGGTTTGCTGGAGAGATCACCTTTGCTTGGCCTCTGGGGTCCCTTTGCCCCTGGACTCTCCTACCCTGGAGAGGAAGCAGAGCCTCATGGCTGACACCCAGGGCCCTCTCTGAGATGTGACTTTATCCCTTCATATTCCAGACAGGTTTGCTGAAGAGGTTCCCCTACCTGGCCTTTTAATCCCTTGGTCTTTGGGCTCTTCTGGTCTTCAAAGGAAGCAGAGCCCACCTTGTCCTGGGCTCACTGGAGCCCTGGAGCTCTTATCATGGGCTAAATTCTCTACCGCATAGGGGATAAAAATGACACATCCAAGGCAATCCCTGCCCTCAAGGGGCCCACATATTCCAGCTGGAGGAGACAACACATATAGGGCACTGGTAGCCAGGGAAGGGACTTTGGGTTTGGAAAGTTACAATGATGGATGCTGGAGTTACAGGAGAGGAGATGAGCATATTCTCTTCAGGAGAAATGGCAGTATGGATTTGATTATGGATTCAGAACTGGAAGATTGTGATATGGGGTGAGAAAGGGATAGCATGTATGTGCCGTGAAGGAAGCTGTAAAAAGACAGCCCGGATGTAATGTTAAGCATGACTGCAACCAGCTCCAGTGTATTAGGCCACGAGAATCACTCAGCAACTAGCAAAATGGGGCCCCAGGACAAGAATACCGGAGCTGAATTGTCTCTGGTCTAGTGGTGTAAGGTGGCTGCCAAAAAACCGTCAGGATATAAGGAAAGCATAACTGTAGCAAAGAATCAAGAATGACTCTGAGATTGTGAGATTGGGTGATGGGCAGGATGTTGGTGCCCTCAAAAATGGAGAACATAGGAGGGTAGATGGATTTAGGGGAGATGCAATGGACATCTGAAGGAAGGAGAACTTGGAAGGATCTGTAACTCTGAAGTCAAGAGAGCAGACAATATCCAGAAGGTAGGAATAGCCAATAGTATCACAATCTGCAGGGGACAAGAAGAGTCAGGAATGGAAAATGGACACCCAACTTAGCAGTTAAGGAATCATGGCAACTTTGGAGAAAAGAGTGGCAGTGGAGAGGTGCGATCTGAGCCCAGAGTGGAAAGAGGTAAGACTTGAGTGGGAGGTGAGGCTCTGAAAGGCTTCAAGAGTGTAGACTGTGTTTTCTAAGCATATGACCCTGAAAGGGAAGGGAGATGGAGAATGATAGCCAGAGCATGTGGAAGGGCCAAATAAAGGGTTTTAAGAATGGTAGAGGCATCTTGGGCATGTTTGTAGGTAGTAGGTGAGGAGCCAGGAGATAAAGAGCAATTATGCACGAGAGAGGAAGGGAGATGATTGTGGGCATGATCCCTTGGAGGAGACAGGAGGGGAATTGAATCAAGGGCCCCATGGAGAGATGAGCTTTAGCAAGGAGGCAAGAAGCAAAAGTAAAGGAGAAGGCAGGCAAAGACTCAGAAGGGTTTTAAAGTATGGTATTGTGATAGATGCTCTGGATTTTGTCAGAAACAGGTCCGACTTAAACCTTGTGATTTCAACTCTCAGCTAGGATCATGAGGCTTGCTGCATAGAAGGAACTTCATACATGTGTAGTGAATCTAGTCTATGAATAAAGGGCAGGAGAATAGGGGAGAAGACATTTCTTTGCCAAGAGGGAGCCCCCACCCTATAGCCTCCACAGAGATGAACAAACACACAGAGCCTTGGGGACACCCATGGTTAGAGGTGTGACCTGAATAAGGATCCAGAAAAGATGACTGAGGAATGGTGAGAGAGAGAGAGAGAGAGAGAGAGAGAGAGAGAGAGAGAGAGAGAGAGAGAGAAGGAAAGAGTGATGGTTCAAAAACTGAGAGAAAAGAAAGTCTCAAGGAGAAGAAGGTGATCAACAGTGTTAAATGCTGCAGAGAAGTCAAAGAGGATAAGGATTGGGCTGTTAGCTTTGGCAATGAAGAGATCATTGGTGACTTTGGAGAACATTTTTGGTGGAATGATGAGGTAGAAGCCAGATTGTAGAGAGTTCAGAAGAGGGTGAGAGGAGAGGAAGCAGAGGAATTGACTATAGATGGCCTTTCTCATGGAGTTTACTCAGGAAGTGAAGGAGAGATATAGGACGATAGCTATTGGGGATGGTTAGATCAAGTAAGGGTTTTTTTTTTTTTAAGATGTGGCCTTGTGTATTGGCATCATGGAAGTAACTAGAAGATAGGAAGGGATTAATGATTAGTGAGTGAATGGGGATGCTAAAGGGGAAAACCTGCTGGGGAAGATCTGCTGGAGAAGACAGGGGATCCCTTGTGCATGCTTATGGTATTAGCTTTGGCAAGGAGAGATGGGCTACCTCTTCAGGTGAGAGAGGGGGCTTGCTTTTCCATGATTCCTTTTGTCCTTTCTTCTCTTTATTTCTCTATATGTGAATGTTTCCTAATTTTTAAAAATTGTGAATTTAACTATCACCAAATAAACAAGAACATTTCCGGACACAAAATAGAAAAGAACTGTACAACTCTAATATATACAGCTGGTTTTCTTTTAAAGAGCCTATTATAAATCCAACATTTAGTAATAATTTTTTCACTCTTATTGTCTGCAAAGCACAATTCTGAGGACACAAAGGAACACCCCTGCCTTCAAAGTGCTTCCAGTCCAGCAGGGAGAGACAAGACACGACCCACAAAATAGATTGAAAAAGACATCAAAATGAATAGAAAGTAACTTGGCATGGGGGGGGGAAGAGGCACAGGAAGCTGGGATTATCTTGTAGGAGGGGGTACTTGAGCTGAGGTTTGAAGACAATAAGAGTCTGTAACAGGCCTGAAGAGGGGAGGCATTGAAAGCACAGGGGACGGTCAGGGCAAGAGACAGGAGAAATGCTGTGGGTAAGGAATGACAAGATGGTTCACTTGGGGGGTGTAGAATGGAAAGGAGTAAAGAAAGCCTGGTGGGCTGGGAGAGGGAGTCCCAGCTGGGCCTTCGGCACCTCAGTGCTTCTGAGATCTGACTCAGATCTGTTTTCTGATTAAGATCCTTTTCTTTCCCAGGATTCTTCTCCAGACCATCGTTACAAGTACGACCAAGCACCATGGTAGCTGTAGGGGAGACAGTGACCCTTGTGTGCCAGGAGTTACTAAGCAGTGGTTTTTTAAAATTGACATTCTTTCTGCTGAAGACTGGGGTGCCAGCCCCATTACAGCACCAGAGTCCAGAGGGGAAGATGGCCAGCTTCACTCTCCCATCTGTGAAGGCTGAGGATGCTGGGAACTACAGCTGTATTTACTCAAGCAAGGGCACAAATAAAGGATCAGATCCCAGTGATGTCCTAAGGCTGGAGGTGACAGGTGAGAGGAGACACATGGGAGCACACCTACCACCCTTTCCCCCATATTTGGGGCCATGGGGATCATAGGTAACAATGGCAATGTTAATAGCTATCATTTATATGGTGCCTACCAGGCAGTGTGCTAAGTGCTTTCCAAATAGTGTAAATTATTTTGTAAATTTATTTTTGAATTATTTAAAATACCAAGTCTTACCTCTTTCTACTCCTTACATTATTAAAAAAATATTTTAAAATTTTTAAACTTAAAATACTGTAAATATTTTATTCTCATAACCACCCTGGGAGGTAGGTGCTATTATCATCCCCATTGTATTGTTGGGAAAGCTGAGATAATCAGAGGTTAAGTGAATTGCCCGAGATCACACAGCTAGTAAGTGACTAAGGCTAGATTTGAACTCAGGTCTTCCTGACACAAAGCCCCTCAGTCTATACACTGAGCCACCTTGCTGCCTGATGGATGGAGATGAGAGTGTAGGGGTTTAACTTCAGGAATCCCCCAACCATTCTCTGTGACTTTTATGTCTCTATCAATGGTTTTCAGGTAAAAAGACTGAACATCCTCAAGGAAAAGGTAAGAAGGAGCGGCAGACGTTCCAGAGACAGGCCATGTCTCCTCATCTCCCTGGGTTCAGGAGCAGCCCCCATTCCAGCCTGTTGGAGAATGGTGATGATGGCTAGGAGGATAGATGGGGTGGCTAGAGGGATACAGTGGCACAGTGGAATCTTGGGAGCGACCATTTCTTCTGTTTCAGAGCTCGGAATCATCCTCATTGTCACTGTCAGCTGCGTCTCTGTCTTTTTCCTCCTCCTCTGCCTCCTGGTCTTTCTCTGCCGCCGTCGCACCCAACACAGTGAGTTCAGAGAGGGACTGAAAGTCCCAGGGGGTTGAGAAATGAAACTAGGCAGGAGGTCTGGGGTCTCAGTGAGCACACTTCAGTATGAGGAGGTGGGATGAGATGGACTCTCGGAGAACTTTTGTATGCTCAGTCTTACGGTTTTGTGACTGATCCTGCTTTTTGTCTGTCTGTCCATCTGTCCATCTGTCCACCTGTTTCTTCTCACAGGGAGCTCATGTGGAGACACTCACAGGAGGTAAGAATGCCCGGCTCCTTCCCCCCATTCCTGTGGCCAACTCCCTCAGCTCCTTCTCCCCAGTGCCACTGGAGACTGCCCACATTGCTCATCGATTCTGGCTGGGAGAGGATGATGGGTCCAGGTGCCAAATTATCTCCTCGCCTCTTCACAGGTCCTCAGACAGTGCAGGTGTCCCTCAGTCCCTCTGCCTCACCTCCCTCCCTCCCAAGGAGACAATGTGTAAGTGGGTCGGGGCAGGGGGCAGGGATCTGGGATGTGTCTGGGGGGTTGACCAGGCCCAGAAGATCAGGGACACACGAAGCCCCTTTCCTATCCCAGGTGAAGACATATCCAAGAGGATACAGCTGGAGACACAGGTGAGTCCTTCCTCTTCTCTGATTCAGTCTTTTCTGTGACTCCCACCAAATGCTTTGCTTCCAGTTTTCATCCCTTCTCGTTCCCCACCCCCACATTTCTTCCTTGTCTCCTTCCGATGCCACTCACTGATCCCCCCCAGTCCATCTTTCCTTCAGGCCTCTGAATCTGAAGACTCCCAAGGAGTGACTTACTCTCAGCTGAACACAGCTGCCCTTGATGAGGGGCAGAGAGTCCTCACATCTGCACCCCCAGAGCCCAGTGTCTATGCTACTCTGGCTTTGCGCTGATGGGGAAGTAGAGACGCTGTCACCCCAAGAAGGGGAACTGGAGCTCCAGAGAGAGGGAAGAGCAATGAAAGATGGGGGGAAGATGTGGGCTGGGAATTGGGATGCCTGAATTTGGGTGTCAAGTTTGGGCACTGAACCCAAGAGACCTTTCACCCCGCTGCCCCCAGGGGAACATATGCACAGAGGCCCCATCTATCTCTCTGGCCTTCCATCATCTAGCCTGTGGCACCTTCTGTACCAGTCCATACCAATTCTGACCAGGTTTTCTGTTGCCTGGGTGACCTCTGAGCTGCTGGGAGAAAGTAGCTCAGTCTTCACCTTGTGATATTCATTGTGTTGATTTGTGAAGCATCTGCAAGACAGATGATTGCTCAGCCAATGGGCTTCCTTTTGATTCTGGTGGTGCTGGCGTTGAATAGTGATTCAATGTTGTTAGACATACGCTGGGTGCCAGTGGGAGGAACACGCTTTGATGCGCTCTAGTCTGGGAATCTGAAAGAGAGGATGCACCTCCTAGCTGCCCCTAGGCCCCAAAACTTCAATTTCTGGGACTATTCTAGGAGGGATTATTAAAAGGATAGTTGGGGAATTTTGAGAAAGGAAAGCAGTGATTCCAAAGAAGCCTGGCTTCATCATAGGTCATACCAGACCAACCTCATTTCCTTTTTTTGGACAAGATTGCTAAATAAATCCCTGTCCATGACTAATATGGAAATATGTTTTACACGATTGCATATATATAACCTGTATCAACTTGCTTACCATCTTAGGGAGGGAGGAGGGGAGCAAGAGAAGGGGAAAATTTGGAGCTCAAAAAAGAATGTTAAAATTGTCTTTGCATGTTATTTGGGAAAAAATTAAAACATTATTCAATATAATAAATAAATAGGATTGAAATTTTTTTTCTTTTTGGTGAGGCAGTTGGGGGCTAAGTGACTTACCCAGGGTCACACAGCTAGTGTCAAGTGTCTGAGGCTGGATTTGAACTCAGGTCCTCCTGACTCTAAGGCCAGATCTCTATTCACTGTGCCACCTAGCTGCCCCCTGTAATAAATAAATAAACACATCATTGTCTGGATGTAACTACTCAGTTTCCTTAATCCAATGTAGCCTTCCCCTCCCTGCTACCTTTCCGGTATTACCTCTTACTTCCTATTCTCACCAGTTGCAGATGGTAGATTGTGGGCTCTGGGGTTGAGCTGCTACTGTAACATTAACCCCTGGAATTTGTTGAGTGTATGTGTGGGGAGGGTGACATGGCCAGAGCTGGACTTTAGGAAGATCACTTAAGTGGCTGAATGGAGGATGAACTGGAGTGGGGAGAGGCTGGAGGCAGGCAGACCCACCAGTGGCCCCCCAGGCACGAGGGGATGAGGGTCTCCACCAGGGAGTGGTGGTGTCACGGGAGAAAAAGGGGCATATTCAGGAGATAAGTGAAATTGACCAGAGATGCTGCAGAAGTGAAATTGACAGGCCTGGGCACCATACTGGATATGGAGCGGGGGAGGAGTCTTGGATGACTCCTAGGTAGGGAGCCTGAGGGACTGGGAGGATGGTGTTGACCTGGACTATAATAGGGGGCGGGTTAGCAGTGGGGAGGGTTTAAGAGGAAAGATAGTGGTTCCATTTTGGACATTTTGAGTTTAGGATGTCTACTGGACATCCAGTTCAAGATGTCTGAATGGCAGTTGGAGATGTGAGATTAGAAGTCAGCCAAGACACTGGGGCAGGAAATGTAGATTTGAGAATCATTAGCATAGAAGCCTTTCATCCATCCTCCATCAGCTTCACCTGGGTCCTGTTGGCACCATGCCCCTTCTCCCACCCTGAATGGATTAGTCGGTGTCCACTGGCAGGGACATGACTGATGACCCAAAGGGTCTCAGGATTCAGGATCCTGTTTAAATGTATGGGTAGTTTATCCATCCCAGTGACATCTCTGTGCATTGTAGAAATGATCACATCCACACATGAACTGCACAGAAGGAATCTCTGCTTATTCAGTACACTGAGTCCCTGAACCCAAATAAAGACTCTGGTATTTCCTTATCCCCTCTGATAGGAAGGATCAGGGCAGACTGATTCCTGAAGTCCCTTCATATCTTGTGATCATATGTCTTGGGTCACAACTGCCCTCCTAGACTGCGAGCTCCCTGAGGGCAGGCACAAGGTCTTGCCTAAACGTGTCTCCTTCATTGACCTGCACACAGTAAGTACTAAGTAAAGGTTTGTGAAGCACACACAGTAAAGTACTAAATAAAAGTTTGTGAAGTGCATATAGTAAGAGGTAAATAAATGTTTGTGAAGTGTGCACAGTAGGTGCTAAATAAAGGTTTGTGAAGTGCTTAATTCTCGCAATTCTCCCAGAATGCCGGGTGCTTGGGAACAGGGAATTCCATTCAATTGATCATACATTTACACATCCCATACTAGTGCCAGGCTGGTACCATTCAGAGGCTCCTAGGACACTGGGCAGGTGACGTCCTGGGATGAATCTGTGGGAGGACATGGGTGAGGGTCATATAGGCAGGGCAGGTTGTGATTGGCATCCCTGGGGGCTGTCTTCATCAGTGAGAACCTTGCTCCATTGGAGTAGTTCAGTTTGACCTTGTGGGGCTCTGTGCTAGGCACAGAGATGGGAGATGAGGAAGAGCAAGGGTCCTGAAGGCCTGGAGGCCCAAGACTAGTATCTCAAAGGGAGCAGCACCATCACCCTCTCAGATCTGGATCAAGGCACATGGGAGGCTGGGAATCACTTCTTTTACTCTTGGGTCACCTTTTCCCCCTGGCATCTTCTCCAAGCCCTCCTTATATGCCAGCCCAATGCCATGGTGGCTCTAGGGGAGAATGAGACCCTCTTGGCCGTGATGTTATCACTCCCCAGGGGAGTAACATTCTTCCTGCAGAAGCCTGGGACCCCAGCCCCCTTGTAGCCCCAGAAGCCAGCAGGGCCCCAGGCCAGCTTCCTTCTCTTGTCTGGGGAGGCCCAGGATAGCGGAAGCGATGGCTGCATTGAGTCTGAGGAGAATCCAGACAGAGCATCAGACCTCAGCAAGGCTCTGGAGCTGGTGGTGACGAGTGACAGGGACATCTGGGAATAACTCTGGGAGAGATGCAAACTCCAGCCCCAGGATGGGGAGCAAAACAGCATGGTGGGATCTATTTCTGGGACTTGGGGGATGGGAGGAGATGCCAGTGAACCTTGATTCACTTTAGCAAGAAGAGAGACCCCAGGCCAGGGACGAAGCTTGGATTTTTGGGGAGGAGGAAATATCACCTTTCAGCACAGACACCCCAGGACGGGGTGAGGACAGGCCCTTGGCTGAGGCTAGAACTGGAGTCTGGTAGTCCTGGAAGAGCTTCAGTCACTTGCCTCAGGTGTTCACTTCTCTCTCAGGATTCCCCCCAAACCTTCCCTCTCAGCTCTGCTGAGCCCTGTGGCAGCCCCAGGGGATGTAGCTCTCCAGTCACTACTCAGGGACCTCACAGCCCTTGGCCCAAAGAACCACAGTGAGGAAACAGGCTGACCTCCACCTCCAGTCCATGAGAGCTGAGGACTCCAGTAACTCCAGCTGCATTGACTCCAGCAGAACAGAGCAGGACAAGGGCTGGGCCTAGTGAAGCCCTTCGGATCTGGGTAGCCGGTGAGAGTAGGGGCACGCAGCCTGGGTGCAGAGCAGTCAGCCCAGGACCCTGGGCTGAGATGGGAACAGGAGAGTTTAGGAGGGGATGATGTGACAAGCTGGGGCTGAGTCCAGGGGACTCGAGAGTGGGATATGGGGGGCATCTTTGCTGAAGTTCCACGTCCTGGCGTCTGTTCAGGGGATTGTCTGGAGGGAGGCTCCTGCCCCTTCCATTAGAGGGGGAGGTGAGGTTTTAGCATCTTCCTCTTTCCTGGAACATCACACCCCCAATAACTGCTCTGGTCTTTGGCTTCCAGATACCTTCTCCTCCGCCAGGCTGAGCCCCTTGGTGGTCTCAGAAGGAATTTGACCCACCTGTGCCTGGGGCCATCCTGGGGGGTGAAGTTTGCTGTGTACAAGGCAGGAGAGGAGGGACCTTTGGGGACAAGGGAGCCCACTCAGGATGGGGTGTCACGACCATCTATGCAGGGCATTACAGCTGCCACTCTCACCGTGGCCCAGACAGCCTTATCCAGGCACTGCCCAGTAACTTTCTGGAGTTCCTAGTGCCAGGTTAGGGGACATGGAGGGGCCTGGAGGAACCTGTCTCTACAGGGAACACATCCCTATGCCTTCTATCTCCAGTACAGCGGGAGTAAGCCCAAGGAATTCCCTCTGGATCTTTAGTATCCACAGATACCATAAGAGGGCAGCTAGGTGGTGCAGTGGAGAGTGCCTTGGAGTCAGCAGGACTTGAGTTCAAATCCAGTCTCATATGCTTACTAGCTGGGTGAGCCTGGGAAAGCCCCTTGACCCTGTTTGCCTCAGTTCCTCATCTGTAAAATGAGCTGGAGAAGGAAATGGCAAACCACTCTGATATCTCTGCCAAGAAAACCCCGAGTGGGGTCAAGACGAGTCAGATGACTGAAATGACTGAATGATGTACCATACCAGGCAATCGACTCTTTTTTCTAACCCTCCCCCAATCACTGATGTGGTGGTACTGGGACCATGGGTGGGGACCTGGGCTCCAGGTACAAAAGACAAACCTGGGACAGATGAGAGAAAGGGGGAGTCCAGGTTCTCAGGCATAGGAAACCATGTCTCTTCACTTCCCTGGGTTCAAGAGTTGGCCTTATTACAGTCTATCGGAGGAAGGGGTTGCTAATGGGAGGGTGAGTGCAAGGTGGCTGGAGGAGTAAGGTGAAGCCGCCCTAGGGTACAAGTGAGCCTGAGAGCAGGTCATCTCTCCTGTTCCCAAAGTCCAGAATCATCCTCATTGTCTGTCAGCTGTGTTTCTCTCCTCCTCCTCCTCCTCCTTCTCCTAGTCTCCCTATGGCATCATCACATCCAACTCTGTGAATTTGGGGAGAAGCTCTGCAACCCTCAAGTGCATAAGGATTGGAGCTAGGGGTTCACTGGGACTTCAGTGTCTTCTTCTGTTAAATGAGGGGATTGGATGAAATGACCTCTAGTGGTCCAGCTCAGAATCTTAAAGGCCTGTCACTGATATTATTGTCTGTCTTTTTGTCTGTCTGTCTGCCTGTCTGTCCATCTGTCTGTCCGTCCATATCTTTGTCCATCTGTCCATCCATCTGTCTGTCCATCTGTCCATCTATCTGTCTGTCTGTCTGCCTGTCTGTTCATCCATCTGTCTGTCCATCTGTCCATCCTTCCATCTGTCTGTCTGCCTACCTGTCCATCCATCTGTCTGTCCATCTGCCTGCCTGCCTGCCTGTTGGTCTGTCTGTCCATCTGTCTGCCTGCCTGTCCATCCACCTGTCTGTGCATCTGTCCATCCATCTGTCTGTCTGTCTGCCTGCCTGCCTGACTGTTGGTCTGTCTGTCCATCTGTCTGCCTGCCTGTCCATCCACCCGTCTGTCCATCTGTCCATCCATCTGTCTGTCTGTCTGCCTGCCTGTCTGTCTTTCCTCATCAGTAAAATTAAGCTGATGCTTGCAATCCCTACATCACAGTGTGCTTGCCACAAGGTCCTTTGTAAACACAAGGTTCAGTAGAAAGGGCTGCTATTAGCCCTAGCATTACTCATGCTTCTGAACAGGAAATCTGGGCTAAGAAGGATAAACTTTGGCTCCTTGTGGGTTGTTGGTTTTTTCTTTTTTTGGGGGGGGGCCAGTGAGGAGCATAACATTTTCTTCCTTCCTACCCTCCTTCTCCTCTTCTTCAATGGTCACAGTCACCCAGAGCCCTCATCAGTCCAGAGAATTTTTCTGCCTGTGGGTTGAGTAGAGTGTACTTTCCCAGATGTGGATGGGGGTCTGGGAGGGAGTGGTGGGTGCAGCATTTTGGCCTAAGGTTCCTGAGATGGGGACTGAAGATGTAAGAAGCCAAGTCTATGACTGAGGGTCCCAGAGGACAGGACAGAGGGAGGATCACACTTCCTCCTCTCACAGGGCCCCTGGGCATGGGGGGAGTTTCAACACCAGTTCTTTCTGGGGGAGGGACCTGTGGGAGAGGAGTCCATAAAGTGGGGTGGTCAGTCAATAAGTATTTCTTTCTTTTTTTTTAATTAGGCAGTTGGGGTTAAGTGACTTGCCCAGGGTCACACAGCTAGTAAGTATCAAGTGTTTAGTCTGAGGCCAGATTTGAACTCAGGTCCTCCTGACTTCGGAGCTGGTGCTCTATCCATTATGCCACCTAGATGCCCCAAAATGTGTTTTTTTTTCTTTTTGGTGAGGTGATCAGTGTTAAGTGACTTGCCCAGGGTCACACAGCTAGTGAGAGTTTTGTGTCTGAGGCCGGATTTGAATTTTTGTTGTTGTTTTTTACCTTTTTGGTGAGGCAATTGGGATTAAGTGACTTGCCCAGGGTCACATTGCTAGTAAGTGTCATGTGTCTGAGGTCAGATTTGAACTCAGGTCCTCCTGACTCCAAGGCCAGAGCTCTATCCACTGTGCCACCTAGTAAATATTTCTTAAACACCTACCATGAGCCAAGCACTGTGCCACGTGCTGAGTATACAGAAGACACGGCCCCTGTGCCCAAAGGGCTCACATTCTAATGAGGGAGACAATGTGTACATGACTAGGTCTGGTGGACCAGAGACATACAAAGCAGATGAAATTAGAGTGGGCAGAGGAGAATCCAGGGGCAGTACTGCACAGTACTGACAGCCCTTCTCAAGGGAGCTCCAGCCTACCCACTGCCTCTCTTGGCTAGAGAGAAGCTAGAGAAAAATACCCAGGACCTCAGCACAAGCCTGCTGCAAAGAAGGCACTCAAATGCTGCATGGTTTATTGATTCACGCCTATGCAGGATGAATCCACGCTAGTGTCTCATGAGCACCATTACAGTGACATGGTCTTCCTTCCCCTGTCTTTGAGGCTGTGACCAGGCTTTCAGCTTGCTCCTTCACTTCCACCTCTGGGAGTCCCAAGGGAGCTCAGTTCCCCTTAAATCAAGTGACCATTAATCACACCCACAATCCCTCCCCTCCCCTGGTGCGGGGGCATCTTGTTCTGTGGAGCTGAAGCCAGGCAGGGCAGCAGATACAGAGTGGCCTGATCTCAGAGCCCCATTTCTGCTCTCTATGAAGAAAGGAAGGAAGGCACTGGGAGGAGTTTGGGACTCTTCCCTCCAGCTGTCCAGCTGGAGGGGAGCAGGGGCTGAGAGAGGGGGCACCTATCAAGGCTGGAGTTGGCAGCATGGGGGTGAATTTAGGAGGGATGGGCTGCTTCTGGGAGGGGCATTGCATGCCTTGGAGTGAAGCCAGGCTCTTCTCCCCAATCTCTTTCATTCTACCAAGGGGGCCACCGTTCCACCAGTCTCCCGGGTCTATGACCTCTGCATGTTTCCTGCCTCCTCTGTCTCCCACAGCTCCATGTCCAAGCAGGTGTCAAACCTCGCCATTTCTATCAGCACAATGCCCTCTCCCATGCGTCTCCTCTGTCTCCCACCCGCATGCGTCATGGCCTCATCACTTCCATCCTGGACTATAGCAATGGCCCTCAAAGAGGGCTCTGCCTCCAGTTTCTCCTTGCTCCCCACAAGGAATTTTCCTTAAGTGCGGTTTGGATGACATCCTTCCCTCACACAGTAAACTTCTATGGTTCTCTATTGCTTCTGGGTGACCTTGGGTAAATCACTTTCTTTCCCTGAGTCTTGGTTTCCTCATTTGTTAAGTAAGGATAATACTATTTATCCTGTGTGCTTTAGGGGACTTACGGGGAAGGCAGGGCTTTGTACCTGCGAATCTCTTCATTGTTTTCGGAGGACAGAGGCAGCAGTGAAGACAGACCTTGTGAGAGAAGGCAGCAGTAATCCATAGCATGGGTCCAAAGGGTGGTAAGTGGGGGGCATCTGGCGATGTGATTAGAGAATAGGTAGCTATGGTTGTTAGCACCCTGGCTTGGGGGGCAGCCCAGCCCCCACGCCTTCTGTTTTCTAGGGTTTTTCTTCTCCCTGAGCCTATGGAATGAGGGTCCGTGATGGCTGTCTTTGAGGCCCTGGGGATCTCCAAGAGACATGCCCCCTGGGAGGAAGCCCACTTAGCTTCGTGTCAGTGCCTTGAGAAAACAGCCAGGTAACAGGAGGAAGGAAGTACGTATTTATGGAGTGTTTATAATGTGCCACTGACTGTGCTAAGCTCATTCTAGGTGTTATCTCATTGATTCTCACAACAGCGCTGAGAGGTAGGTGCTGATTTTATTCCTATCTTACAACTGAGAAAATGGAGGCAGAGATGAAATGACTTACCCAGGTCCACACAGACAGTAAGCATCTGAGTCAGGATTTGGACTTGTGCCTTCCTGACTCCAGGCTCAGCATTCTACCCACTTTACCAGATGCCTTTAAGCTTGATGACCGACCCTAGCTGGAACTCTGTTCTCTACCATATCAACCAGTGAAGATGCAGGCCCTGAGATGACTGTAATTCTCCAGGAGGCAGCTGGGTGAGAAATAGTTTCCCTTTATTCACCAGGAGATGTTGCAAAAGCTTTTCTGGTACGGGTGAGAACATGGGTAGCCAGTGTGATGAGCGGAGGAGAACCACGGAACACGCAACGTTAGGGTACCAGAAGTGCATAGGAGGCAGTGGGGAAGAACAGGGCAGCTGACGTGGATCTCCCTTCTTCTGCAGGTAGACAGGATCATTTCCTCAGAGGCTGGATTACCCAGAGTCCTTTGACCTGGACTTTGCTTTCCTGACTGGCCAGCCCCGGCCTTCTGGCAGAGCATTCCTGGTGCTGCTTTCAGGAGCCTCTTTGGCTGTGTTGGGCCTCTGCCACTAAGACCTCCAGGATGAGGAGGACCACCCCTGCCAGGCTGAGGCGGATGAGATTGCCCGTGGTGTAATCTGAGGCTGAGGACAAGGAATGAGACTGAGTGATGGTGACCCTTGCAAGGATTCTCCCAAACATCAACTCAAGCCCCTAGCATGGTAGTCAGACTCTACCCTCAGCCTGGGTCTGTGTCCACAATCTGTGTGGCAGAGCCCTCAGAGCCCTCTATTCTAGGCTGTTCTTGAACAAATTTCCCTTCTATTTTGTTCACCTAGTTTTTGATTGGAGATTTTCATCCACTGGGGCAACTAGGTGACTCAGTGCATAGAGTGTGGGGTCTGGGGTCAGAAAGACCAGAGTTCACATCCATTCTCAGTCACATAACTAGCTGTGTGATGTTGGGCAAGTCACTTAACTTTTGTTTATTATAGTAGGTACTATAATAATAGTACCTACTGCCCAGGGAAGACACTCCAATGAATGAAAACCTACAAACAGAAACTGCCCCCACTGTATCCCTCTGACCACCCCCATCTATCCTCCTATCCATCATCACCATTCTCCAACCAGCTGGAATGAGGGCTGCTCTTGAATGCAGGGAGATGAGGAGACATGGCCTGTCTCTGGAATGTCTGCCACTCCTTCTTACCTTTTCTTTGAGGATGTTCAGTCTTTTTACCTGAAAACCATTGATAGAGACATAAAAGTCACAGAGAATGGTTGGGGGATTCCTGAAGTTAAACCCCTATACCCTCATCTCCATCCACTGGGCAGCAAGGTGGCTCAGTGTATAGACTGAGGGGCTTTGTGTCAGGAAGACCTGAGTTCAAATCTAGCCTTAGTCACTTACTAGCTGTGTGATCTCGGGCAATTCACTTAACCTCTGATTATCTCAGCTTTCCCAACAATACAATGGGGATGATAATAGCACCTACCTCCCAGGGTGGTTATGAGAATAAAATATTTACAGTATTTTAAGTTTAAAAATTTTAAAATAATTTTTTAATAATGTAAGGAGTAGAAAGAGGTAAGACTTGGTATTTTAAATAATTCAAAAATAAATTTACAAAATAATTTACACTATTTGGAAAGCACTTAGCACACTGCCTGGTAGGCACCATATAAATGATAGCTATTAACATTGCCATTGTTACCTATGATCCCCATGGCCCCAAATATGGGGGAAAGGGTGGTAGGTGTGCTCCCATGTGTCTCCTCTCACCTGTCACCTCCAGCCTTAGGACATCACTGGGATCTGATCCTTTATTTGTGCCCTTGCTTGAGTAAATACAGCTGTAGTTCCCAGCATCCTCAGCCTTCACAGATGGGAGAGTGAAGCTGGCCATCCTCCCCTCTGGACTCTGGTGCTGTAATGGGGCTGACACCCCAGTCTTCAGCAGAAAGAATGTCAATTTTAAAAAACCACTGCTTAGTAACTCCTGGCACACAAGGGTCACTGTCTCCCCTACAGCTACCATGGTGCTTGGTTGTACTTGTAACGATGGTCTGGAGAAGAATCCTGGGAAAGAAAAGGATCTTAATCAGAAAACAGATCTGAGTCAGATCTCAGAAGCACTGAGGTGCCGAAGGCCCAGCTGGGACTCCCTCTCCCAGCCCACCAGGCTTTCCTTACTCCTTTCCATTCTACACCCCCCAAGTGAACCATCTTGTCATTCCTTACCCACAGAATTTCTCCTGTCTATTGCCCTGACTGTCCCCTGTGCTTTCAATGCTCCCTTTCTCCAGGCCTGACTCTTAGAGACTCTTATTGCCTTCAAACTTCAGCTCAAAGTACCCCCTCCTACAAGATAATCCCAGCTTCCTGTGCCTCTTCTCCCCCCCCACCATGCCAGGTTACTTTCTATTCATTTTGATGTCTTTTTCAATCTATTTTGTGGGTCATGTCCTGTCTCTCCCTGCTGGACTGGAAGCACTTTGAAGGCAGGGGTGTTCCTTTGTGTCCTCAGAACTGAGAATGGTGCTTGGCAGACAACAGGAGTGAAAATGTTGGATTCATAATAGACTCTAACAAAAACAAGCTGTATTTATCAGAGTTGCATAGTTCTTTTCCTTTTGTATCTGGAGATGTTTTTTATTTGGTGATAGTTAAATTCATAATTTTTAAAAATTAGGAACCATTCAATACAGAAGTAAAGAGAAGAAAGGTCAGAACGAATCATGGAAAAAGGAAGACCCCTGTCTCACCTAAAGACATAGCCCACCTCTCCTCGCCAAAGCTAGGAGGATGCTGCTTCTTCTCTGGGGTAGGAGAGTCCGGGGACAAAGGGACCCCAGAGGCCAAGCAAGGGTGGCCTCCACAGCAAACCAGGGTCTGTGGGGCTATGAGGGGGGAAATGACCTCCCAGGGAGGCCCCTGGGGCTGAGCAGTCAGGACCAGCCCCTGCCCACCAGAGCCAGGACTTTCTGGGCTCCTCCTTACCTGTCACCACCAGCTGCAGGGGTGCACTGAACTCTGACCAGTAGGATCCTTGCCAGTAGCGGCAGCTGTAGCTGCCTGCAGCCACTAGTCCCTCAGGTTGAAGGCGGAACGCAGCCTCTTCTCTGGAGGTATTTATCTGGAGTAAGAATGCTTCATCCTTCCAAAGCTGAAAACTCTTGCTTCCCTGTGGGCCCTGGCAATAGAAGCTCACCCGTGCCTCCTTGGGGACCACAGAGCTGGGCACAGCCCTAATGGAGGGTGTGGGGAGTGTCCCTGGAAGGGAATCAGGGCCTGGATTTCAGAGCCCTGCCCTCCGAGGTGTTGTTCCAGCCCCCAGCCCTTGCACTCCCAACCACAGGCATCCCCTTCAGCCCAGAAAAGGCACCTCCCTCCCTTCCCCCCTCTCTGCAGCATTGGCTGCCTTGGAGGTAGCACTGAGCTGGAAGGTTGGCAGGGGCACCTTGAGGGGAAGGACTCGCTCTCTGGAGCTGTGATCTTCTGGCTCAGACACAGGCATGAAGGAGAGGCTCAGGTTACAGGTGATCCTGCCCCTGACCCAGCAGCCCCACCTCTGTACCCCACCCCACCCCAAAGACAGAGCAAGAGGTAGGCACTAGTGTACTTTTCTGTGCAGGCAGCCTCTCCCCAGCCTCGGTGTCCCCATCTGTCCCATATACCCCTGTCCAAAGACCTTCTCAGAGTCTTCCTTCCCCTCCAGCCCAGCCTGGGGCCCTGGCACTCACCAAGGCACAGCAGAGAGGAGACTCTGGGGGCCATGCTGGTCCCTCAGCCCTGATCTAAGCTGCCTAGACAAAGGGTCATGAAGAAAGGAGAAGGAGGAAGCAGGGCTGCCTTTAGGCCCTGCGGCTCCCATGACCCAAGCCACAGGATGTGATTACAACAATTGTCAGTCACACCCCCAGTTCCGCAGCCCATGGTCTGTCCAGGGAAATTGGGGAGAGGGGGACATCTGGCCCTTCTGGGAAGCTGCTCTAGGCTTTGTCTTGCAGCATCCATCCCTCCTCCCCCTCTCCTTACCCTTGCCCCTCTCATCCTTTTTCCCTTTTCCTCTTCTTCCCCCCTAGAAGTATTCTTTCTCACCTTCTTCCTGGGCCCACCTTGCTCTCCCCTGGATGCCCTCTTCCCCTCCTCAGAGTGATGTTGACAGAGAGAGTAGGGGGGCAGCAGAGAGCAAGGAGCCTGCCTAGACCCCCCCATCCCCACCCAGTGTAGGAGGGAGCAGAGGTTTGCCCAGTAGTGAAGAGGGTGCCAAGGGGGCCAGCATGATCAGGAGACAGCCATGTTTCTGGGGCATCAGGAGATGGAAGGCGTGTGAAGGAAGAAGCTGAAGAGGATGAGGAATTAATTAAATGCTGAAGGAGGCACCATGGGGGGAGACAGGTCTGAGAAGCCAGGTTGAGTGAGCCCAGAAGCCAGGGCTGGGAGCTTGGATACTGAAGGAGGCACCATGAAAGTCAAAAGACAAGGCTTGACCTCAAGAAGCTCCCAGTCTGATGGGGGAGATAACATGCAAACAGCCGTGTACAAAGGCAGATATAGAAACAGTTAACTGTGGAGGGAAGGCAGTTGACTTAAGAGAGATCAGAAAGCGCTTCTTGTGGAAGAGGGGGGGATTTTAGCTGTGAGCTGAAAGAAGCCAAGCAAGTGAGGAGATGGAGAGGAGGAGGGAGGTCCTTCTAGGCATGGTGAACAGCCCCGGAAAGTGTCCAGAGTTGGGAGATGGGGTGTCTTAGACAAGAAACAGCAAGAAAGCCAGCTTCAATGGGTCATAAGATTTATTAATAGTCAACAAATATTTATAGAGAGCCTACTGTGTTCCAGGCATGGTGCTAAACACAGTGGGGATACAAATACAAAAAAAGAAAGAGTCCCTGCCTTCATGGAGTTTACAGTCTAACGGGGAAAGACACAACACAAAAGAGGCTGAAACGCCAGTGGGGAGAGGAAGGGAGGAAGTATCTGGCACAGAGACATGGTGGAGAAGTCAAAGAAATCCAGAATAAGTATAACTGGATGAGAAATGCCGGATGTAGGAGAAGTCTCTCCCACCTCCACTCTTAAGAGGAGGAAAAAAAGTCACCCAGACTGATTAACACACCTAAAATGGATGTTATATGGATTATGGTCAAGGCCTTTGCCAAAGGGTTGGGGTACTGGGGAGATCAGTCTTCTCATATCTTTCCTTTGCAGCCAAGCCTGTTCTTCAGAATTTCTCAACACTCAGTTTTGGTTATTTGGTGATCGTTTGCATTTACAGTGTAGTCCTCATTTTATATCTTATTTTCCCAGCTCTACGCACTTTACCTGGCATCAGTTCATGCAAGTCTTTCCATGCGCTCCTGCATTCATCATGATCTCTGTGTCTTAAAGCAGTCATATTCCACTGCATATATGTCCCACAATTTACCCAGCTAGTCCCTAACTGATGGGTGTCCACTTTCTTTCATTACTCCTACTGAAGACTTTTGTTTGTAGCTAAAACAAACCCTAGGAATTTGATTCATAGGATTTTTTCTTTAAATTTAAATGTTTTGATAACTTTTGTTTTTCATTACCTAAGTTTCTTTTTTGATATTTGCCTTTGATATTTATTTATTTATTTTCTTTTTTGGTGAGGCAATCGGGGTTAAGTGACTTGTCCAGGGTCACATAGCTAGTAAGTGCCAAGCGTTTGAGGCCGGATTTGAACTCAGGGCCTCCTGACCCCAAGGCCAAAGCTCTAGCTGCCCTTATTTATTTACATTTTAAAACTTAATAATAACAATAATGGCCGGCATTTACATAGCACTTAGAGATTTGCAAAGTGCTTTAAAAATATTTCATTTTATTCTTACAACAACCCTGGGAGGTAGGTGCTTTTATTATACCCATTTTACAGAGAAGGAAACTGAGGGACACAAAGAGTGCCATGCCCAGGTTCACATAGCTAGTAAATAGCTTGGGTCTTCCATACTTGAGGACCTGACTCCAGGTCCAACATTCTCTCCACAGTGCACTTGGACGTCTTTGTAACAAACATCAACACAGAAAAACAATCAAATAAGCATAAAAAATTAGGGGCAAAATCTTACCTGACTTCCCAGATTTGAACCATTAAGAAAAAATGAATTAACAGAATAAAGGAGATGATGGGAATTTACTTTATTTCCAGTTCTTTGCTTCTATGAAAACTGTGGTTAATGATATTTTGGCGCAAATGGGACCTTTATTTCCATCAGAACCCTCCTAGGTGTATATGTCTAGCTGTGGAATCTCTGAGTGAAAGCGTATGGCCATTTTAGTCACTTTATTTGCATAATTCCAAATGGCTTTCAAGAATAGATCAAATGAGAACACATTTGTAAAGCATTTCGAATGCTAAATCTGGGCATACAGTAAGCACTTTAAACTTGGAGCTGGTGGAAAAGCTGGACCCAAAGAATTAATGAATATGTCAATGTTAACTTGGGGGGGGTGTCTCCAGCACTTCACTCAATTGATAATACACTGATGACAGAGTCTTATTCCAAATGGTCGTGGCACATTCAATAGAAGAAAATGGAATTTTGTAGAGATGAGCACAATGCCTTAGGACATCAAAAGTGTGAGGAGACCTACATGGGAAAGGGCAGCTGGGAACTATGTGCTTTCTCCCTCCTAACACCATACTCAGCTGTTACAGAACCCACAAGGATGAGGAACCTTGATAAATTGGTTTCCTTGGTATGGTGGTGCAATATTAGATTTTGCAGCATGTTAGAGCAGTGGTCTCATGAGACAGATTTGGATGCCCAGATGAATAGTCATTCTGCTTTTGAGAGTATAGTTTTGAGACATATGAATGACTTGTGATTATGCCCTTAGAGAAAGCTTTCTAGCTATGAGCAGAGGGGTTGGGATATAGTCCTGGGCTAGGAAAAGTCATTCTGTCCTGTGCAGGTCCCAGAGGCCAGAGGATTGGTTACACCACAAGTGTTTATGAGAAATAATATTAGGTCAGTCAGATGCTGTCTTTAACATAATGAAAATATAATGGGAGTCTGACTCTTGCGCAGAGTTTCTTGGGTGGCATCTATCCAAGTGGAGATATTGAAGAACCTGATTCTGGGAGAGTTGTGAGGCCATGGAAAGGAAGTGCCCTGGAGAGACTTTAGCATGCATAGCCATTCTGTAAACGGATCTGGTTTGCTACCCACATGGTGAAAAGAGTCCTTTTCCCATTATTCGTAGTCAGAACTTCAAACTGAGTCAGCTTCTCTTGAGCTGCGTTGTCTGGGGATTCAGTGTAAGAGGAGAGTCTTTGGGGCCTTCTCCCCTCTCAGGCCATGTGGCTCTGTCAAAGGGCTTTGGTTCTAGGCATCTAAATTTGTTCTTTTTTATTTTAGGTGAAGAAATGGGACTTTCCAGTCTTGTGAGTTTCAAAAAATTGGGAAGGAGTTCCAGTGTCCCCATTGTTTGCAGCCAGCTCAGCACTGATGCCCCAAAGAGAAAGGAGTGACCTTCAGGACCCAGGGCATCGGGAGCTAAAACAAGGAATCATCCAGCAGTCAGGATGCATATGGATGTCAACTTAGTGGGAGCAATGCTATGTAGCGACTAAGCTAAGAGTCTATCCCGGAGGCGTTAGGGGAGAATGGTTGGATGTTTGTTCTGGCTATGTCTTTGAAGAAAATGTTCCTTTGTAAAATCTAGTCAACATTAAGTGGTTAAATTGAATTGAGGTGCTAGTTGCTGGCCCCTGACAGTGGTGGGTGTGGGGGTAGAGGAAATGGAGCAGATGTGAGATCAGGCTGATGGTAGCAGAGAAATAACTCAGACCTATCAGGGTACACTAGAACCCCTCTCTTCTAGCCCTGGGAATAGCCATCACCCAGGATCTGGTGATATCAAGCTCTGAGTCCCAGACATAGACATGTCCTCTCTCTAATTGCAAAGTGAGTTTAATTGCCTCTGTCTATGTATAATTCTTTGACAGTCGCATAGATATTTGATATCATTCATGTACGTACTCCCTTCTATGGTATAGAAAATAACACACAACTCATTCATGCTGTCCCAGAATGTGCAAATTTTGCCTGTGTTCTCTTGTGATGGTTAATATATTTATAGGGAATCATTTTAAAAAGATGTCTTAATGACTTAGGTATCATCAGAGTGCATTTATCTGCCTAACAGGGTTGTGGGGAGAACACTTTCTACACTGCAAAATATCCCCTAAAGAAGCTTCTGCTATTACGAGGTGGGGGAAAGTAAATGTCATGGGAAAAGGATCAGTTGGGACCTCAGAACTTCACCCATCTCATACATGAGATCTTCGTGCCAGGGCATACGTGGTTTTTGGTCCCTTCCCCTGAGGAGGGGTCTGCCTTCCATGTAGGTATGGGGAGGAATGACAGAGTTCCACACTTTGGATGGCCCAGGACGGTGGCCCCGGGGAGGGCTGTGTGAAGTTTGTTTTCCTATATGGCAGACCTAGTGAAGCAGCAAAACATGTAGCTAGCTCCTTTTAGATAAAAATCTGAAACACTTCAAGATAAGAATGTTCCCTGAAGCCAGCAGAGGGCACCAGAGACACATAGATTTGCCTGAACTTGGCAGCCTGTGCTTGGAACCAAGTGATTTCCATCTCCACTGTCTGGTCTTGTTCAAATTCCGAGGTCTTAAAAGCAAGGTTTGGGACCTCAGACCTCTGTTCTTTCCCTAGGACTTTTTTTTGGGGATAGATCATTCCAAAGGGCACTGAAAGCTCACTTCAACAAAAGATGGCGGTTCACACCTATAATCCCTGCTGTTGGAAGCTGAGGCTGGAGGATCTTTTGAGCTTGGACATTGTGAGCTGCAGTGGGCTATGCCAATCAGAGGCATCAGTTTTATGTTTGGCATTAATATGGTGAGTCCCCAGTTACATGTCTGTTTCGGGGGAGGGAGACCAGGTTGCTTAAGGAAGAGTGAATCAGCCTGGGCTGGAAAGAGCAGGTCAGTGTTTCCATACTGATGGGATTAGCCCATGAGCAGCCACTGCACTTCCAGCTTGGGCAAGATAGGGAGGCAAAATCTTTAACTAGAACTATTCTAAAAAAGATGCCAGTGAAGTTCTCTTTTCTCCCACTCAGTTTGGGGTTGAGGAGGGGGGGGGAAAGAAGACAGATAGGAGAAATCATGCCCTTACAAGGGGAGACAGTTCTTTCTCCAAAGGGAGGCTGTCTTATCTTCCACAGTTTGTTTATCCTCTAGGAAGGATTACTCTTTAAAATAAATGGTTATCAGTTTCCCTCCTTGACGCAAGGCATCTACAGTGACCTTCTCCCCAAGTTTCGCTAGAACCTTGGATAGCTCCATAGTCACAGGTTCCTGCTGATTGTTCTCTTCAGAGTCCCTTACCAGCATCCTTTATCTGGGATGAGTTAGAGGACTGGCCTTCTGCATGTAGGTCACTTTGGACAGCATCCTTTGCATGCAGGCAGGAAAGTTGAAGACTCATGGGTTTTATACCAAGGCTGATTGTGTGGAAGTGACCAACCAAAATGGTTATTCAGTTGTTTGTTTGCTTGGTTTTTGCCATTTGTTCTCAAAGAGGACCAAAATGATATTGCTATGTTGGGGTCAAGGTACCCAATACAAGCTCAGAAGGCTCTACCACAGGTCGGGTACAAATAATCCATGTGAACATTTGGAGTGGAAATGTCTCTAAATTTGCAAATGCAGAAAGCCAGTCCCCTACCTCATCCCAGACAACCCTCTCAAAAGTAATCCTCTTTTACCTTCCTATTACTTCTAGGATTAAATAGAAAATCCTTTGGTATTTAAAGCTTTTCATAGAACCCACCTCTCACTCTGGGAACATTTTCTGGACCTGTGAGGGCAGGCTGTTGATGAGTGAGTCTGTGCAGAGAGAGAGAAAGGCAGAAGAAAACAGTGAGATAAACAGTCATGATCATTTGCTAAGCACCTACTGTATGCCAGGTGCTGTGCTAAGCACTGAGGATACAAAGAAAGGCTAAAGACAGTTGTGCTTTCAAGGAGCTCACAGTCTAATGAAGGAGTCAACATGCAAACATCTATGTACAAACCGCATGCAGGATAAATTGGAAATAATCAGCAGAAAAAAGGCACTAGAATTAAGGAGAATAGGGAAAGACTTTCTGTAGAAGGTGGAGTTTTTTCCTAGGACTCGAGAGAAGCCAGGGAAACTAGGAAGCAGTGATGAAGAAGGACATTCAAGGCCTGGGGCCAGTGGAAACATCTAGATTTTGGAGATGGAGTGTCTTGTTTAAGGACCAGCAAGGAAGCCAGGGTCACTGGATCACAGAGGACATGGGTGAGGAGGGGTGTATGAAAGAAGAGGACTGGAAAGGTAATGGGGGAGTAATAGGAAGGGCTTTGAAAGCCAAACAAAAGATTTTCTATTTGATCCTGGAGGTCATAGTGACCCACTAATGTTTGTTGAATAAGAGGGTGACATGGTCACACCTGCATTTTAGAAAGATTATTATTATTATTATTGTTATTTTTAGGATAGGTAATGGGGTTAAGTAACTTGCCCAGGGTCATGCAGCTATTAAGTGTTATGTGTCTGAGGCCAGATTTGAACTCAGGTCCTCCTGAATCCAGGGCTGGTGCTCTATCCACTGCACCACCTTGCTGCCCCTGGAAGATTATTTTGACAACTAAGTTGAGGCTGGACTGGAATGGGGAGAGACTTGTGGCAGGGAGTCCAATCAGCAGACTATTAAAATAGTCCAGATGTTGTGTTTTGTGGCCCTGCCCAGAATGATGGCAGTGTTGGAAGAGAAGAAAGGGCAACATGGGAGAGATATTATGAAGGCAAAACCAATGAGCCATGGCAACAGATTGTATATGGGGAATGAGAGAGTGACACCTAGATGGGGAGCCTGGGAGGCTGGGACAATGGTGGTGTCCTCAACAGCAGCAGGGAAGTTCGGGAGAGGTGAGTATTTGGGGGAAAGGTACTGAAGCCAGCTTGGGACATGTTGAGTTTAAGATGTCTGTGCGATATCCAGTTCAAGATGTCCAGTAGGCAATTGGAGCTGCAAAACTGGAGGCCAGAGGAGAGGTAAGAGCTCTACAAGGGAAATAGTTCCCTGGGAAAAAAAAATGACAACAAATTTATCTAAAAAAGGGTTTTGATCTCCAAGCTATACAGGCAATTGGTACAGATATATGTGCATATTATGTATAAAAAGAGCCTCAGTAGATGAATGGTCAAAGGGCATGAATAGGCACTTTTCAAAAGAATAGATGTGAACGATTAACAACCATATGAAAAATGTATAATAAAACTAATTATGGCTAATTGGCTGAGACTTGGGAAGATGAAGTCTTATTACAGAACCTCATCCTCCCACCCCAGCTGTATCATTTGCATTGTCCTATAAAAGTGATAGAGAGATCACTCTCAATCTTTTTTTCTCCTTTTTCCCTTTTCCCATTCAGAGGATTGTCTTGAGTATAGCACAGTGTCCGCCTCATCCTATCTAGGAACTGTAATCACTGCCTTATAAGCACATGGGATAAGCTCGTCCCTGTAGCCAGAAGGAGAAGGATCTTGAGAATGGACTCTACCAGCCCCAGAAGTGGTAGCAGCCAGGGCCATGAGAAATTGCCCTGAAATTGCCAATGAGAATACTCCCTGAAGAAGGAGCAGAGGAGGAGAGCTGTGGCTTGGGGAAGCAAGGGATTGCACCTCTGTTCTAGACACTTGTTGCTATCGCGTGAAAAGGAATCTTTCTCATTTGGGACTGAAGTAGAGAAGGTTGTTCAGTTGTACTTGAAATCCAAGACCTCTCCTCTCATACCACATGGGGCAGGTATATACGGCTGGGCTTCATCTTGAGGTAACACTGGCTATTCCCAGGGGGAGGAGAGAAATCTTCTTTCCTCTTTCCACTGGACTCCCAGAGAAAGGCATAAGAGAACCAAGAGCAGGTAACAAGTGGTGCATATGACAGCATGCCATGGTCATGTGAAAATTGTGTCAGGAACGTAACGCTCAAGCTGAGGACACAGCAACCTGAGCAAAGCAAAAACAACAACAAGCCATGGCAGAACTTGAAATAAAAGGTAAAACAAAGGTTTTTTTTTTTTGGTTCAATGGAAGCAGCCATTGACTGCTTAGGGGAGTGCCTCTGTCACTCGCCTCCAAATCTGGCTGGCATCTCCTCAGTGCAGCTGTGCAACCTGATGGGGATAGTGGGGGTGTGTAGAGCTTCCTGGCAACACACTCAGGTTAGGGAGTAGGAGTCGTGATCCTCTGTTGCCACCAGATCTCCACCCTTTATAACTTTCCCTCCCAGGGCTGGCTTTCTCTCAAGTTTCTCCTTTCTCATACAGACCCAGGCATGCTCAGGATCAGGTCATGTACTGAACCCAAAGATAGAGGTGAGCTCAGAAAATGACAAGGCAAGTTGAATGGGCTACACCAATGTCTAACACTTTGGAAGAACTTGGATCTGTGACCTCACTGCTGCATGTGCTTTTTCCAGCAATACCCCCAGGCTAGCCCATGGAGCGCATCTCTTACTTGTGTCTTCCTGTTGTGGCTAATGTTACATCGATAATTGTTCATTTGCCAGATAAGAGAGACTGCTTGCTAGGCTAGGCACACTGGTTGTGTCTATTTCCATACTTGACTGAGCTGTTCAGAAGGGCATGTTGTCCATTGGAAAGTGCACCCTGAAGGAGGTTCTGCATTTTGGGCTGAAGAAGGAAATGGCTTGGGAAGAAGGACAGCCGTAATCACTGAACTCAGCCTGAAAGCACAGATGTGGGTGCCAGGGCAGCTGTGACTCCAGGGGGGGGATTGTCTTTGAGAGGGGTATGCCTCTCACAAGCACACTACAGTTTTACAGTGAAGTCCCACCCTCTGGCTGACCCCCGGTGTAGGTGAGTGTGAAGCTTGCTACTCTACTCTCGAAGACCTACAACTACATCGACAACTGCATTGATACTGGGCTCAGATGAAATTCAGAAACCTCTGCATCAGGATCAAAAAGAAGCTCCCTACAGGCAGCAGAGGGCTCCAGAGCCACACAATTTGACACTGAGCTTGAAAGGAGTCAGCATGGACAGTACTTGAGACCAGGTGACCCCAAGCGGACGTTCACTTGGTCAGAATTTGAGGTCTCTGTTCTTAGACTGAAACTCCTAACAGTGCTTTTCAAAAATTGAATGGTCCTTAGGGACACTGAAGACTCAGTGGAACAAATAATGCCTTGTAGTCTTTTCCTCATCCATTTCAAGAGAAGAGAGAGAGAATCAGAAGAAACTATATCCTCACAGTAACCACTAGCTGGGAGCTGTCCTTGCCTCCAAGGGAGGCTCTCTCACCCTCCCATGGTGGACCCTCTAGGAAGGATCATCATTTAAAATGAAGACTTCTCCGACTCCCCTCATCACACAAGGAATCTCCAGCCACTTCTCCAGGTCTCTCTAAGGACCTGGGATAGCTCCGTGCCCCCAGCCTCTGGCTCCCACTTTGAGTCTCTAGCAGTCAGTCTCCAGCATCTCTTTAATGGTATCCAAGGCCCCAAATACCCCAAAGCAGTCCCCAGTAGAGGTCAAACACATCCCTGTGTATTAGTCTTCTACTAACAGACCCTATTTCTCCCTTATTTCAGAGACTCTAGTGACGCCTTATTACCCCCAGGATCAAATAGAAAACTCTCTATTTGGTTTTTGAAGCCCTTCACAAGCTGCCACCTTACAACTTTATTGATCTTCTTACATTTTTCTTCTATGAACTCTATGTTGCAGTGATACCAGCTTTATCTTGTGCAGTGTCTTGATTGAGGGGAACAGAGAGAGACAGAGCCTGTCTCCCTATTTGGAAATGAGTAGAGGTAATCTTAATTCTTGGGATTTGAAGAAAAAAGAGCCCAACCAGAAATGGGGAAGAAGTTTCCCTGAAATATATACAACACAAGAGACATTATAATTTGAAATGAACTCTTGCTTCTAGACAACAATGTTGGAGTGGATTCTCTAGATTATGAATTTAGTCACAATTGCTCCAGGTCCTCTGTAAGGAAAACGACCAAGGTTGAGCTCTCTGCCTTAATTTACCTACCCCTGGCCTCTTTGTGTTTGATGAAAAATTCGTTTCACTGGAGAGGTGGTTGGATAACATAATAATAAATTATATCGTAGTGTCTGTGGTTGGACAGGCACCAGGAAAAGAAACTGGAGAAAGAGCCCACTATTCCTGGGAACTTCCCCCAGACTGGCTCTTCTGGAGCCGAGGATCACTTTTAGCACATCCCTTCCTGCCTCCCCGCAGTCCTGCCTTTGCTCCTGAAGGGGGCGCTCGAGTGCTGCACTTGCTCCAACATCTTGAATGAACTCTTCTCAACTCATAGGATAATTTATCAATGACACTTCAAAGAACTTTTCCTACTTAATCTAAGGCCTTTAATTGAAGATGATTATCTTATTAAAGGAAAAACTAATCATATTGGAGGGATTGATTTACTGCCCTCTTCTTTTTAACTGGATTGACTATTAAATAATTGTGTTTATCTTTTCAAATATCTTATATTTTTATCTTCTACACAATCTTTTGGTCTCTATTTTTCCTCTATTTGAAAACATCTGTGTTGTTCTTATTTTAGTTTTTTTCATTTGTTACTTTCTAATTTTTAGAAAATTTGTATCTGCTTCATTAATCCCCTTTTCTATTTTGTTAATATATGTTTATAGAAGTATGATTTTTTTCCCTCCCTGAACACTGCTTTAGCTGCATTTCAAAAGCTTTGGTATGTTGTTTTATAAGGCCAATACAGTAATTTGTTGGCATGTTGTTCTATCAATATAATTTCTTTCATATAACTACCAAATGTTACTACTATTATTTCTTCTTTGACTCACTCATTATTTTGAATTTTATTGTTAAGTTTCTATTTGAGTCTGCAGTTTTTATTTATGCTCCCTACACTGATTAGTACTTTTATTACATTATGGTCAGTAAAGGATATGTTTACTATTATTTGCAACATATCCTATACCCTAATACATTATCAATTTTTATATAAGTTACATGTGGTTCTGAGAAATATGTGTATTCTTTGGCAGTACAGTTCTGAGGGCTTACATATATTATCTCCCCATATAAGAATATAATTAGTGTATCCTTATTAATCCCTTCTGATTGATCTCTCACCTTTACCTTTTTAAGTTTCACTTGACTCCTATGTAAGTGAAACGTATGTTATACTTAGCTCTGGTCTTTCCATCAAAAGTACTTAGAAGTCCTCTATTTTATTAAAGGTGCATTTCCCCCTGTAAAATTATAATCTTTTTTTCTGGGTAATTTATTCTTGTCTATAAGCCTAGACTGAATCATTTAACTTCAGAAATATAATTTTCTAAGCTCTCTACTCCCTTATGATGGTGGCTGTCAGATCTTGTGTGATTCTGCCTGTGACTCCTTGGTATGTGTATTTTTTCCTCCTTTTTGGCTGATTGCAACATTTTTCTTTGACCTTTGGAATTTTGGCTATAATATTCCTGGTAATTTTTTTTTTCTCAGGAGGTGGCTAATAGATTCCTTCTATTCCTTCTATGTGACTTCTGGTTCTAAGAAGTTTGGGCAGGTTTCTTTTATGATTTTTTGAAATTTGATGTCTAGGTTTTATTTCTGGTCATACTTTCAGGTAATCAGATGATTCTTCAACCATCGCTTGCGGATCTGTTTTCTGGGTCAGTAGTTTTTGCTAAGAGATAACATTTTCTACTATTTTCAGTCTTTTGATTTTGGTTTAATATTTCTTGATGCTTCATGGAGTCATTAACTTTATTTGGGCAGTTCTAATTTTCAGAGAGTTATTTTTCTTGGGTTAAAGTTTTGTGCCTCCTGTTCAGAGCTTTTAATTCTTTTCCCACATCTTTCTTCCCTAGCTTTCATTTCTTTCCCTTTATCATTTGGTTTTAAAAATAATTTTAAGTGTCTTTTTTTTCTTTGACTAGGCAATGGGGTTAAGTGACTTGCCCAGGGTCACACAGCCAGTAAGTGTAACGTGTCTAAGGCCAGATTTGAACTCAGGTCCTCCTGAATCCAGGATTGGTGCTCTATCCACTTGACCATCTACCTGCCCCCTTTAGGTGTCTTTTAAACTCTTGTTTTATCTTTTTAAAAAATTCCAGTTGGACTTGTGTCCAAGTTGCATTTTTCCTTGGAGGCTTTATTTGTAGATTTTTTTTTTCCATCATTCTTTTCTGGGTTTGTGTCTTGAGTTTCCCTGTCACCATGATTGGTTCTTTTTGGTAGGATACTTTTTTGTTTGCTCATTTTTCCAGTCTACTTCTTGACTTAGGACTGTTATGGTCAGGCTTTGTGTACTTCTGGGAAGAATTCATCAAATGAGTATTTGTTCTTTTGGGTACTTCTGCTCCTTTTTTGGGACTATTGAGTGTCGTGTTATTCTGGGATCCCAGGGACAACTCAGGCTGGAGGCTTTCAGTGCTCCCCAAATGATGTGATCCTGGTGAAGTCTGCTGCCTACACTCGTCATCTGAGCTCTGCAAGTTGTGGACCCGAGCTGGGGTCTGTCAGCTTGTTCCTGGTTGGGAGTTCCAATAGCTTACTTCTGGACTCATCAGTCATCAGCCAAGGACATTTGGCAGGTAACAGAGTGACCGTGCTGCAGGTTCACCGTTGGTCTGAGATTTCTGCTGTTGTTATTCCTCAGTCCGGGCTGGAGGTTAGAACTCAGTCCCTGCTCCATTCCTGAGCTCAGAGTCACACAGCTCCTGTTTGCTTCTGATCTTGTTCCTCACTTAGTACACAGTTAAGGCAGCAACCATAACTGCTCCTCTCCATTCCTGCTCCCACCTGGCATAGGTTCCCTCATCATTCCGGCCTAGAGTTAGGACCTGGAATTAGGTAGTGAGCAGCAGAGCTTCCAGATTCCATGTGTTCTGCCATCTTAGGGACCCCCTCATTAACTGCAAAAGACTTAACTACTCTGAACAAGACAATGATCCAAGACAATTGCAAAGGACCAATGACGAAATATGCTATCCATCTGCAGAGACAGAACTGATGACCTCTGAGCTCAGATCAAAGCATACTTTTTAAACATTATTTTTCTTGTTTTTTTTTTTGTGTGTGTGCTTTCTTTTGCAACATGGCTAATATGGAAACATTTTGCATGACTTTACATGTATAATTGATATATTAAGGCAAGTAAGATAGGGAGGGGGGAGAGAAATTTGGAACTCAAAATTAAAAAAAAAAGAATGTTGATTTTTTTACATTGTAATTGGAAAATATTTAATGAAATAATATTGAAAGGAAACTCTTCCTTGGATCCGTGCTTTCCCACTCTTCTGGGTATTAGTCGCCCATAGCAGCTCTGATTCCCCTTCTCCAAAAGTAGCATGAATGATTTCTCTAAACACCAAATTCCTATAGATCAGGCTTTTTGTAAGGTCCTCTTCGCTATAGAATATTTTTTTCTCACATAGGAGCATTTGCCAATGTACCCCCTTCTTCCACTGAGATAAGACTTCCCTTTTTCTTTCTTCCTCTTTCAACCTCCTCTTTTGCATTTTTGCTCATTCTCCTTTGGGCTCTCTTCTTGAGAGACCTCAAGATTCCCTGTAGTTGAGTCGAGAGGGTTAGTCCCTAGCGTGTCTGGCCTGTTTCTACCTCCTTACTTGTATTTGACTTGGGCTTACACCCTGGTATCCTCATATACATTTAGAAAGAAATATCCAATGGAGTCTGGTGCTATTTTGTTGTTGCCCTGAGTTGTTTCATTTATTTACCCTTCTTGCATTTCCTTATCTGGGGTATTTGAGAAGCAAATAAATTTTTTCATGTCTGTTTTTTTAAGGGAATATTTTGAATGCTTCTTTCTTATTGAATATCCAGCCTTTTTTGTTTTTTTGTTTTTTGTTTCTTTCAATTATGACTAGATTCAGATTTGCAGGGCAGGTGTACCATGAGCTTCATCTTGAGCTCCTTTGCTCACTGGAACTCATTATCCCGTTCCCTCCTGCAGTTCCTAGTCGATGCAAAATAGTCTTGTGTTATTCAAATTTCCCTTCCTTTACATTTGAAGTATTTGTGGTTTGTTAGTGGAATCCCTAAGTTTAACCACTACATATCTTGGAGTTTGCAATGTTAGTTTTTCCCTGTAGGCTATCTGTGGATTCTTTTGGTTGGGACTCTGGTTTTTGTGTTCAGAAGTTCTAAGTAGTTTTCTTGCATTATTTTTGACATTAGAGTATTCAGGCTTTTTGACTCGTAGCGCTCTTTGGGGAACCCTGTGAACTTTAATTTGCCTAGTCGGCAGTTTTATCGTTAGCTGATTGCTGGATTGGTGATATTACTTGACCAGTACCCAAGAGATCAAGGAAGGAAAGACACATGTGACCAAAAATATTTGTTGCAGCCTTTTTTTTAATAGTGGCTAAAAACTGTCAACTAGGGAGCACTTGTTCATTGGAGAACGGCTGAACAAATTGTGATATATGACGATATTTAATTTAATTGTATTATGAAACCACTAGGTTTCAGAGAAAACTGGAAAGTTGTGAATTGCTATAGGATGAAAAGAACTGAACCACTTCAGAAATAAGGACTATTATAAAAAGAAATAACTCTGAAATGTTTATGACCTGTGTTCAACACGGAGCCCAACCATGACCTATCTCATGACAGAGTGGTGATGGACTGAAGTTGTGGATTAAGATACATATTTTGTGGACAATGTAGGGGAATTTGTTTTTATTTGACTATGCACATTTGTTACAAGGGTTTAATTTTTTCTCAATTGAGGGACCATAGGAGGGAAAGAAAAATATACTTTTGTTCATTAAAAAAAAAACTTTTTAGAAAGGAAGATATATTTTGCATGGATAATTGCTGGTTATTAGCCCATGGATGCACCTGGTATTATAATTAGTATCTTTTTACATATTGTAGAATTTTTTATTTATTCTGACAGTGTTGGATTGTAACTGTAATATGTATAAAAGAAGGGGAATAGTCTGCTTTTAATATTTGGGGAATTTATGAATTGCTTCTTACATATTGATTCTTTTTTTTTTTTTTTAGTGAGGCAATTGGGGCTAAGTGACTTGCCCAGAGTCACACAGCTAGGAAGTATTATGTGTCTGAGGCTGGATTTGAACTCAGGTCCTCCTGACTCCAGGGCTGGTGCTCTATCCACTGCGCCATCTAGCTGCCCCTTACGTATCGATTCTTATGGTAGCACATTGTTTCTAGAAGTAGCCAAGGGTGCCAAATTTTGGGGCATCTAATTACCCTTATTACATCTATTTTTTCTATCATAGCCCAATTAAAATGTTTGCTATTTGGTTTCTATTTGATCTGCAGAGAATACTGTTTTTGGAGACTGGAGCTATCTTTGCATAATTATGCTGATTTCAAATAATCCCAATAAACCCAATACTGAACTTGGGGTAGCAGGGGTCATGTGGGATCTGGGCTATGCAAAGATCTACACTGAAGTTTCAGAATTCAGACTCATAAATATAAGATAAGGGAGTCATCTGAAAATATCTGTAGGATTTTGTGCAGATGGCTGAGGGATGGGAGGGCAAAGCTTACATGTCGAATGACAAACTGAGGGTACAAAATTATCTAAATTAGAATATTGGAAGAATCTAATACAATGGAACATCTTATGGGTGCGCCTGACAGTCTATGCTAGAATTCCAAAATTAAACCCCATGAACAGAAGATGCAAGCAGTATAGCTCAGTGCCAACCTGTCTGGGAAAACTTTGGAGGATTGAATGGACCAAAATCTCAATTTGAGTCAACAGCGTAAGAGAGCAGAGAAGGAAATGAAGAAGCAAAAACAAAACACAGAAGTAGGAGCAGCAGAAGGAGAAGAAACAGAAACAGCAGCAACAGCAAAAAAAGACTGCAGCTAATGAGATCAAAGGGGCTAAACATTCTGGTATATTCTGCCCTAACACGTTCTCCAGCCATCTCACCATCCTGGCTGGCCTTTTCTGTGTGGACTTTAGCTTGGGTACGGCTTTCTTGAAAAGGAGTACCCAGAACCAGGGGAAACTGAATGCACAGGACAAACAGAACCTATTGGACCAACTTCAGTTTGGAACGAGGATGAAGCTGCTCAGTTGGTCAGTAGAGAGGGCGCTATCTGGTGTGTAGGTATGACACAATTCAGCTCTTCCCTCATTTGATTTCCTTGGTTTGGCACTCTGAAGAGGTTGCTGGTCCATCATGCCATTCCAACCATGTGCCTGGGACCTCAGAGAAGGTGACTGAGAGCTGTTGGCTGGTCAGGAGGCAAATGATGACTGCTTGACTCTTTGTAGCTGCTGCTGCTACTTCTGAAGTGTGCAATGGTACGAGCTGACCTGGGAAAGATGCCAAAAAGTTGTCATAGATGGTGGAGTGGCTGGCTTTGAGAGGTGGCGGCTTGCCCCTTGGAGGCGTTGAAGGGGAAGCTGGACAGCTGCTTGTTGGTTATGGTGTAGTGGGGACTCCTTTGGGCTCTGGACTGGACAAGATGGCAGTGAGGTCCCTTCAGACTATCAAACTCTATAATTCAGTGAGGTTTGCAAAGCACTTTACAAATATTTTCGCATCTGCGGTTCACAACAACCTCAGAAGGTAAGTGCTATTATCATCATTTTATAGATGAGGAAATTGCAGCAGACAGTGGTTAAATGATTCACCTAGTGTCACATGGATAGTAAGTTTCTGAGGTGGAATTTGAACTCAGGTCTTCTTGACTCCAGCTCCAGTGGTCTATCCACTAGGTCACTGAGTTGTGCTGCCTAAGGATTAGAGTGGCAAGACCGAGACGAAGAGGGGCTTCATTAACGGTCACCAAGAGCCTTTAGCCCCTGGTGATATTGGGGCAGGAGGCTGATGTCAAACCCCTAACAAGACCCCACCTCCAACACCTACTCTTTTTTTCTTGACAGGAACCAATAGGGAGATTCTCTCAGGAGCCAGGAAGAGGAAAAGCCAAAAGTTACATGTAAAGCAAGAGGGTCTGAGTAGCTGACTTCTGAGGCCCTGTGGGCCCTAAACCTAACATCTATGTGATACTTGACTGGTGGAGAATCTGATGTTCTCCCCTTGTCCTAACGTGGCTCAGAGAAAGCATAATCTGCTCGTCTGGAAACCTGCATGGAATCTGCTTCTGGTCAAGACAGTCCTCTTCATGGTTCTGTGATCCCAGATATGGGAGGGCGTGAGAAGAGCAAGTCTCTGTGGCCTCTCATCCGACCACGTGGCCAGGTCACACCACAGTCCTTGGGTTGACTGGCCTGCACTAGAGCTGGGGTGTGTACTCTCTTTGGGCAGTGCTGAATGCCACTCTGCCCAGCTGCCACGGCCGTCTCCAAGGGCTGCCTGGGCTAGCCCCAGCAGGGCTGGGTGTGCCAGGAGCAGCCACACGGGGCATCACTGCGTGGCTGTTTCTCTTGGGTCTTGGGGAACTCACGCCCATGCTGGGTAGGATCACTGGCCCCCGGGGCTCCTCAGGCCCTCCATGTAAAGAGAAAAGCCCCGGACCCATCACGCACAGTCACCTCCGTCTTAAGACTGGTGGGGAACCAAGAAAGAAAGTGGCATTACCTTGTTTCCCCCCCAACACAGGATGGTGACAGGCTCCTGTGAGGTCACCACAGCGGGGCAGGGAGGGAGGGACCAGCCACTGACACAGGAAGGCCATGTTTTCACCTGACACTGACATGACCATGCTGAGGAGGAGCGTCCGGTGAGTATTTCTGGAAACCAAAGCTCAGGCCACAGACACGGGTGGGGGGGGAGGGGTCACTGGGGTTCCTGTGGTGGAGGCAGGACCGGACTTTCTGGGGAGGGGGATCCTCCCATTGCTTCTCTTTCCACTATTGTTCAGGGCTCACCTAGGAGCCTCCCCACCATCATCTCTGTCCTGGATGCTCTAGGATGGAGGAGGAAGGCCCCATCTCCCCAGATCTCCTGACCGCTAGGGTCCCCCAGGTAGATGTGATTCTGAGGGCATAGCTCCACCCCCCATGGGAGTGAGGTAAAGGGTTGGAGAGCTGGCAGGGAGCTCAAAGGTGATCTGGGGTCAGAGGCAGCTGGTGGTGCAGTGGATACAGCCTGGGATCTGGACTCAGGATTTAACCTCTGCATGTCTCAGTTTCCTCACCTGTAAAATGGGGATAATAATAGCACTTACCTGCCAGGTTGTTGTGAGGGTGACATGAGAAAATTATAAGGCATTAGCTCAGTGCCTGGCACATAGTAAACACTATATAAATGTTGGCTGTTAGCTCTTATTATCCAGCCCAAGCCCCTGAAGCCCAGGGAGCCCAAGTGACTTGTCCACAGGCATGCTTAAGGTACCTGCCAGAGGCAGGATTTGAACCCCAGCCCACGAGCACAAAGGCCTTGTACTGACTGTGCTCTGCTTCCTCCAGGCCCACAGTTGTCCTTCGTCCTCCCCTGTCAGCCTGCTCTCCAGAGCTCCAGGTCCAGGCCAGGGATAGGGGCTTGGCCCTGCTAGCAACCTAGCCTGCGGTGGTTACTGTGCCCCCTGAGACCAGATCAGGCCTTCGGCTGAGCTCACTGCTCCTCTGTGCTCTAGGCTGGGGTTCTCGGGCTGTGCCCCCTCTGTCTGGGGAGAATGACTGGGATGACCATGGGCACTGGAGGGTTAGAGCTCCTTGAGTCACCATCAGGAGCCAAGATCCTGGGCAAGGAGGGTTGGGAGGGGGTGGCAAGGTCCTTTCTCCTACCCTGGGCCCCTCCCTGGAGAAGATCTGAGCAGGCGAGGGTGCCTGAGGGGTCTCTCCAAGTTGCCCACCCGGCTCGCCAGGCCTGTCTGGTCTCGGAAAGCTCGGGTGTCCTTCTGCTCGGGCACATCAGGACACAGCTGGGCTGTCCGACTGTCCTGTCGGGTTTGGCATTGCTGGGGCTCCCAGGGACATGGCTGCCCTTCACTTGATGAGTGGTGAGCAAGGTCTTTATCGTGTGTGCATGTGAATGTGTGCGTGTGCGTGTGTATGCACACATGTGTTTGTGTGTGTGTGCGTGTGCACACATATGTGTATCTTCCAAGAAGACAATTGGGAGATATATTCAACCATGGGAGACCTGAGGTCTTCTTGGTGGCGTGAGCTCCCTGGGAGAAGCTTCCTCTGCCAAGGCCGGCTGGCACCTTCTCTGGCACCCAAACGCCTTAGAGAGAGACCTGGCCTGCTGCCCAGGGTGGCCCAGTCAGTAGGGACCAGAGGCCGGCCCAGGCTGGGCCTTCCCAAAGGCAGCTCCCTATACGCCAGGCTGCACTGCCCCCTGGGCCCAAGCGCTCCTGCTCTTTAGGGTCTGCAAATAAATAAATAATAAGACTGAATGAAGGAGAAAAGAGGTGCTGCTGCAAAGGGGTTTGGGTTTGCCTGACACGGCAGACGTCGCCCTCTGCAGCGGCGGGGCCCAGCTGCCCCTCTTTGTTTCATTTCCCATTTCCAGCGGCTCCTCCGAGGAGGCTCCAAGGAGCCTCTGCCCAGTGCCCAGTCCTGGGGACTCGGGTGCATTTCAAATGCTCGCTGATTGAGTCCCTGACCCACCACCTCATGTTATAGAAGAGGAAACTGAGGCCCGGAGAGGAGCCAGGTGACAGGGGGCCTTTGGACCCCTCTGACACCAAAGCCAGCAGGCCTTGGATAGCTCTGGTTTCATGACTGTTATTGGGTGATTGACTTGCTACTCTCTCCCTTTTGTGCAGGGCTATGGGAAAAAGAACAGAACAAAGATGCAGAGAGAATTTACCAAGATTTCAGTCAGGCCTTTCACAAGGGTCTACTGCTTTGCTCTTAGATAAGGAGCGTGGACTATACATCGGGACAGTCCTGGGGGTGCAGAGCTGACCTACTGTGTGCAAGGAGCATCAGTGATGGTTTGTTGTCACCCACAAGAAGGCTCCCAGTCTCATCAATGATTTAGAGAGCCGGCGTGACACAGCAGATGGAAATCTGGGCTGGAAGCCATGAAAACCTGGGTTCGAGTCCCGCCTTTCACACCTGATCCCTGGCAGGCTTTAGGCAGCTCTCTGAGACTCTAAGGTACAGGAAAGCTGCCTATGTGCATTGATGGAGGGGCTTTCCTCCCCTGGACCCATGAGGTCCCTCTACCTGTGAGATCACAGGCCTGGTCTCTGGTCCTGTAGACAAAGGCACACATGATAGCTTTATCAAATTTGCAGGGAGTTTTAAGTTGTGAGGATGTCAGTCAATAAGCATTTATTAAGCACCTACTGCATACCAAAATACTGTGCTAAGCAATGGATAACAAAGCCAGGATGCAAATATATGTTTATAAGTGTATTGTATTATGTTCATACTTATAAATATATAGCCTAGTCTGTTAGAATATATTTATATATTTATTTTATAATATATTTATTTAACATATAATACATATATAAACACACATATATATATTTCAACAGAGTAGGACTTTAAAATTATGAGCTGTTGCATCTAATAAAATGATATTTTAAGGGAATATGAGGATTACATAGTATATATAATAACATATATTATTATTACATGTTTCTATTACATATATTGTAATTGTGTATATATCATAATATATTAAATGTTATACAGAATATAGAATATATAACTATAAGGCTTTGAAGCTGAGTTCAAGAGATCATTTTCACAACTTAATGATAAAGTAGCCACAGCTCAGCAACAGTGGCTCAGAAAAAGACAGGAGCATGCTTGTGGGGTCCAGGATTCTACAATGGGATGGCCTCCCTTCCAGCCAAACTGGGCAGGTCACATTCCCTGCATGTGACATTCCCTGCCCAAGCTGTCCCCCATTCCTGCAAGGCCCTCCCTCCTCATGGCAGCCCCTCCTCTTCATCAGGACTCGGTTCAAGTCAGGCCTTTCCTGGCTGCCTGGGGTGGATGACCCTCCCTCACTGTGTTGCTCTGGCCTCAGTGGAAGAGGATGTGAAGCTCATGGCACAATTATACCCTCTATTTACTCACCTGTGGGAAGGCTGATCCAGTCCAGCCAGCAGCACATGTGAGCTAGATGTGGTCCTGAAAGTTCATCAGGTCAGAGGAGAGATATCAAAGCCCAGCAGGGGCTGGGTGGGGTTTCACTCCAAGCTTGGTCACCTCCAACCCGTATGGGCAAGGCTGTAAGCTGGGCTATCTTCTCTGTAAGTCAGGGTTAGTAATACTTGCTGGGGCTGTCACGGAGCTCTGAGGAGGGAGGTGGTTGGTGAACCTTTAAGAGTTACTCTTGTCCACCTGGCTCAGAGCTCCCTGGGGCCCTGAGCCTCCTCCCCCAGGGTCATTGTCCAACTTGCCTAGGGCAGACTTTCCCACGATGTGCCCCTGCCCCACTAATCTCCATCTCATGCTCTCTGAACTTTAATCACATAAACACCACTGTTGTCTCTCAACAGACTGCCCTGCTGTTCCACTCAGCCTCCCTGTGACTTCCCACAGTGGAAGGCCCTTCCCTGGCCACCATTCCCCTTTACAAGTTGTCTCCTCCATCAGAGTGGAAGCTCCTTGGGGACAGGCACAGCCTGACGTTTTTATTGTAATCCTCAGAGCTTAATGCAGGTCATGGTGGATAGTAGGTGCTGAATCCCCGCTTCTCAGTCCCTCAGTGAATCATTCACTCACTGAAGCCAGGAGGAGGAGGAGAGGCTGGACTCTCAGTGGGCCCTGCCTCTATCACACCTGCAATCTAGGAGGAGGTTGGAAGAGCATGGCGGACAATTCCCTTCACAATCCAGGGTGAATTCTCTCTGGGAGAATTCATCAATAACACTAAAGCTGGGTGGCCCAGGAGAAATCGTGATGAGCGTGAGGACGTTGGGCTAAAGTCTACTCTGCTGAAGATGGCGACCCCAGGGCTTTCCTTCATTTTCCAGGAGGACCAAGGACCTCAGAGGTGAAGTCTGGACTCACACGTGAACTGGATTGAAGAGACGCAGAGTTGCACAAAGTCCTCAGCCTCTCTCTTCCTGGGTCCCTGAAGTCGAGTGGCAGGTCAAAAGTCAAGGTGACTGGCTCTTAGGGGCCCTCAGCACCTGCTTCTGCCACCTTCGTGGTCACTGGAACAAATTGTTCTCATCTGCCCATTCCACCAGGGGAGGTCTTCGCATGCTTGGGGGAGACAGCCCCCTAACTCACCAATGGCCTGTAGGTTACTCTCAACCTGCTTTAGCCTGTCTGCCCAAGATGGTTTCCTGGGGTGTGGCTGCTGCAGAGGCCTAAGCTTCTTGGAGCCACAAGTGAAAGTTGGGTGTAAAAAAAGGTTGTTGCCAATGAGCACCAGAAGGGATTGCGGGGACTTGAAACGCCTGGCTCTGTGTGCTGGCTTGTTGTCCCTGTGACCTTGTCTCCCTGGTTAATGTCTGCATTTAGCCAATTTGACACCTAATGTGAAAATTTACATTATTGAATAGGAAGTGAGGGGGCAGTGCCAGAAAAAATAACAAAACCAAGGCTTGGAGTGGAGATGAGGGACAGTCCTGAGGTGCCCCTCCTGGACTAGAGGGTTTCACAGTAATGTTATATCTCCAAGATGAAGACAGATGACGTGTGCCGGGTGGAGGAGTTTGAATTTTTTCCACTTCCTAACTAATACAGCTTGCAGGCTAGCTCACAGCATTCCTGAGTCACTAATCTAGTGTTAGGACTATATGGTGTGTTCAGGGAGGCTAGCACCTGAGGGGTGAGGGCCTGCTGAGGCCTTTTCCGGGCCGCCCACTACCTTTGGTGTCCACCTTCAACCCACTCTCACCTGTCGCACTTACTAGAGACAGCTGAGGGCTGTGCAGCTGATAGAGCACCAGGTCTGAAGTCAGGAAGACGTGAGGTGACATCTGGCCTCAGACACTAACTGGATAACCCTGGCCAAGTCACTTAAACCTCTCTGTGCTTCAGTTTCCTCAAATGTAAAATGGGGATAATAATAGATCTTACTTCCCAGGCTTGTGGGAAGACCAAATAAGATAGCACTTGTAAGGGGCACAAGTCATGCTTGTCAATAGTAAATGCTTTATTAGCTGTTATTAGCAGTAGTAGAATCACACTGGCAGCAGGTCTTTTCCAGTCCCATTAGTTTCCTGGTAGAGGCTGAGAAGCCTAGTGGTCAGTAGCAGCACTGAAACATTCCTCTTTCCAGTCCCCAGGGCGCTATCACTCCAGACTCTGGAGCAAGCAATCATTTGGGGGCGGTCTGCACCAGCTCAGAGCACTCTTACAATGCCACACAATGGAATTATACTCAGCTTGGAATTCACTGAGATTCCCACATCTTTTCCAGCCAAAATGGTTTCCAGCTGTGCCTTTCCCCTTTGGTTTGTGTGAAATGGATTTCTTGCACTAACTGGTAGGTTTTTTCTGAATCATAAGTCTTCTGTATGCTCATATATATGCTTCCCAAACTCTGGGCAGTGAAGGCCTTTTGAGCCCTGCCTTTCATCCTGCAGGGGAGCTGTCCTCTCGCTGTACTGTCCAGATCTAGAAAGCTGCCATCAATTCTTCCATCTCAGGCACTGATTAAAGTCTAGCGGCCTGGGGGGGAAGGGTGGATGTCCGAGGAACCTCCCTGCAGCCCTCTGTCCAAGCTGAGATCCAATCATTGTGGGATCCTCTGGGGTGAAGTCATTGTCCTAGCTTGGAAGGCCCTGGATGGTCTTCACATAATTTATAAATTGTTTTAAAATTTATAAATCAATCATAAAATCATTTATAAAGAGCTTTAAGGTTCACAAAGGACATACATTATCTCAGTGGAATCTCACCACAACCCTGAGAGTTAGGTGTTAATCCTCAGCCCCACTTAAAAATAAGGAAACTGAGGCAGATAGGATTCAGGTGGCTAGCCCAGGGCCACACAGCTGTGAAGTGACTGGGCCAGATTGGAGCTCAGGTCTTCCTGACTCCAAGTGTTAGACTCTGTCCACAATGACACCTGGTAGCCCCAAACAGAAAGAAAATAGGCAGTAGGCGTGGGAAAGAGGAGGCTGTCATGGGGAACCCCAGACTGGAGTCTACCTTAGAGACCACCCAGCCAAAACCTTCATGTTATACATTGTCCATAAACCTGTAGAAGCCAAGTGACTGGCCCAAGGTCATACAGCGAGTTGATGGATTCCAACCCCCATTTCCAAACTGCAAATGCACCGTTCTCTTGACTTTGTGCTTGGGAGATGACTCCAGAATGCCTGAGAAAAAGAATGTTGGGGAGGAACAAGGAAGGAGGCGTCTCTGAGAGGCAGACTAGTTTATAGAAGTGAGGCACTCCAGATCTCAGTAGTTTTCACAGGGGGCTGTGAGGCCTCATTTTCGGGGGGCGGAGATAGCAGTTCTGGTCACCACATCCTGGGGTTCTCACCTGCTCTGCTCTGTCCTTCTCTCCTTATAGCTGAGGCCAATTGGCTCTGATCAGAATTGACATCCTGCCAGGCTGCCTGCGATGATGTGCCTTCTCTTACTTTGTGAGTCTGGGAGGGTCAGGCCTGAAGGGAAGAGAGAGATGTGGGGAAGGCCTTTGGACAACGTACCCTGGGAACTGTGGGCAACCCTAGGAGCTGAAAGCAGGCTGTCCTCAGAGAGCAGCGTCCAGGAAAGTGGCCCTGCTGTCTGAAGAAGGGGGAAAGAAGGGAGTGTTTGGGCGAGTGGGGACAAATGCCAGCTACAGTATGGGAAGCCTTCTCTCACAGCAGTGTCTCCTCCAGGGCTGTATCTGGACCAGGGAATCATGGCACAGAATGGTGAGCCCTTTTCCCCAAATGCCCCCTGACCCTTCTTCCATTCACCACAAACCGTGGCTTGTACTGATGCTGGGGACAGAAAATGGAGTTAAGAGAGTCCAAGTTGGGCCAGACTGATAAAGGAGTCCATGACACAGGCACAAAACGTTCTAAGCCCTGCTCTGGAGCTTCTGATCTTAAATTGGTGGTGTATACCCACACTCATTGCCTTGGGGGTAAGGGAGATACCATAGCACAAGGTTAAATTCTGCTGAAGGAGGTCAGGAGGACAGGAGCCTTCACCAAGGTGACAAGATAGAGGCCACCATTGCCCTCTCTCCCCTGCTGCTGATGTGGGGACTGCTGCATGTAGCTCCACCAGTTCTGTTTTGGTGTCCTTCAAGGCGGATGAGATGAGGTGAGGGCCTAGGGAAAGAGGCAGAGTGCTGGAGTGGGCAGAGTATGGGTTTGGAGGCAGAACACCTGCCTACCTCCCAAGGGTAGGCTGAAACCTAAAGGAATAGAACCAAGACAGCTGGTACCTCCATCATCATCGCCATTCTCCTTAAAGCTATGCTTATCATCCTTCATTCCTATCCTAGAACCCAAAGTAGGGAGAGATAGAATCAGCTTCCTTTGGGAATGGGAAGGAGAAAGAGAGGATTTTTTTTAGTAGTAAGAAACTTTTTTAAAATTAATTTTCAATATCATACAGAGGGAAAAAAAATTTAAAGGTGAAAATAAAGTTGTCCACACATTCACAGAAGTGGAGGACGAGAAGGAAGAGGGGAATAGTAAGAAGTCATAGTCTAACAAATGCCCCAACAAGTATATTCAGGATGGGAAAGGCTTCATGAAGGGTTGTTTAATACAGCTGCTTAGGCAGAGCCAACGGCAGGGCTGCCTCTGGCCCAGCAACTCCTCAAGAAGTCACGCTGTTTCCTAAGTGTTGTCAAGCTCTGGCACCCGAGGGCAGGGAAGTGGTGCAGTGAATGGGACGTTGGGCTGGGCATCAGGAAGACATGAGTTCAGATCCCTCTATTAGCTGGGCATGTCACTTAACCTGTTTGCCTCAGTTTCCTCATCTGTAAAACAGGGAAAATAACAGCAATGACCTTCCACGATTGTTGTGAGAATCCAATGAGATAATATTTGTAAAGTGCTTATCTCAGTATGGGCACCATAAAATGCCAGCTGTCATTATTACTCAGCTCAATTGCATATTACTCAGTAATAATAATTACTCAGCACTTTGGAAATATAATTTCATTGAATCCTCACAACAGTCCTATGAGATGGGTGCTACCATATCTTAATTTACAGTCGAGGAAACTGTGATGGAGAGCAGTGAAGTGACTTGGCCAGGGTCACGTAGCTAGGAAGTGTGTGAAGTACAGCCTCCAACTCTGTGCCCCTTTCCCTGGGGGCGGCCTGCACAGCCTCCTCTCTCCCAGTGTCACGCCCAGACCCTGCTGACGGGCAGCCTGGCCATTTCTGTGCAGCATTGCTCAGAAGGAGGCCCCAGGCTCCTTCCCCTGGATGCACAAACCCACATGCACAAAAACCCCGAGGGAGACACATGGAGCTGGGCAGTCTCACTTCCAGCCTCCTGGGAAAAGGAAAGGAATGAAAGGAGTGGTCTGGAAGAGGAAGCCTCTCATCCCAGCCCTGACTCTGGGAATTCTCAATGAAGGGGGCAGAGATAAAGACCCCAACTCTGTGACCTCCTGCTTTCCCGGACCCTGCTGATGAGTGACCAGGCCTTTTCTTCACTGAGCTGGCCAGAGAGAGGGGACTCCCAGCTATATTTCAACACTCATACACACTCACACTCACACACACACAGAGCTCTATCATCTTAGCTTATACATCCCTAGAAGGACATTCATTAATTAATTAATGAAAAATCATTTATTAAGTATTTACTATACTAACAATATAAAAAAAACCAATTACAGTGCCTGCAAACAAGGAGCTTACATTCTAACAGGGAAGATAATACATGTAGAGGAGTGGTGGCCAGAGAAAGGGCATCTTGGTCCAGAAGGCTACAGGGATGGTGAGTGGGGTCACAAAGCAATAGATTGACACAGCCCATCCAGGAACAATGGCAGAGGTGATTGTCCATGGTTCACAGTTCCACAAGAGGAGGAGGGAGGAGAGGGTCTGTTGCTGGCTTGGAGGCTGTTGAAAGGAAGTTGTAAAGGGGGTGGCCAGAGAGGAGGAAGTGAAGTTCAGCATGGTGGTTGGGACTTTCCTGCAGTGATGGTCTGGGAGAAGCCAGTCAGGAGAAGGGCCCAGGTCAGCAGTTCCTCCAGGACACAGTCTGTAACATGGGGTCCCTGGGAAGGAGACTATGGGAGCATGGTGCTGGAGGACAGTCCTGTGGGCAGGAAGGATGCAGGCCTTGAAGACCAAGGATGCCAGGAGCTCACAGGGCCCTTGTCAAGAGAGTGCTGGGCAGCTATGAGGCTTATTCATGGGATGCCTATGATTGATGTCTCTGACAGGAAGTGAAGGCCTGTGGGGGCAGAGCTTGGGTCCTTCGAGACAGAAATGAGTATGAAAGGGCATTGGTGAGTGCAGGAGGCTCAAAGATGCTGGTGCCACATCCCCAGTGATGTCCCAAGTCCCCACATTCACCCAGAGCCTCTCTTAGCTTGTGCGCTAGGCCAAGTGCTGTTACACAGACACAGAAGTGCCTGGTAGACTGGAAGAGGAAGCCCAAGAGGGACGCGCATGACCCTTCCCATTCTGTTCCTCTCTCCTGATATTCTGGGGGCAAAGGCAATCATCCACCTTCCTTGCTAGCCTCCTTCTCTCTCAGGACGCTTCGACAAGCCTTTGATCTTGGCCAAACCGAGCTCTATGGTTGCACCAGGCACCAATGTGACCCTCCATTGCTGGATGATGGAATCAACTCTCCAGGAGGTGACATTCACCCTGTGGATGGTAGGGAGGCTTGCAAATGCTCAGAAGCAGGCAGAAAGAGAGGCTAAGTTTTCCCTGCCATCTGTGAGTCTCGATAATGCTGGGAGCTACATCTGTGCTTACTCTGAGAAGGGAGAGCCAAAGAGGATGTCAGAGGCCAGTGACATCCTGGATTTGGTGGTGACAGGTAAGAAGACGATGCCTAACAGGGATTCTGGGTTCGAGTCTACCCTTCCTTCCCCAACATGAGTGACCCAGGGGAGACAAAAACACCACGTGCACAGAGTCAGCTGAACTCTGACATCCCTTCAGAATCGGTGGGCTGAAGGAGATGAGGTCCTCCTACTCCAGTCTGGAACATCGGGATGGGAAGTGAGAGCAGAGACTTATGTTGGGGCTGGAGTAGAGCCATAGAGGTTCAGAGATGGAAAGGTCCTTGCAGTTCACAGGCCAAGTTCTTCAGTCATAAACAGTCCCAGAGAAGGGGCCAAGGTTGGCCAAGGCCACAGAGTGAGGACTGGAACCAGGGCCCCTGGACTTCCAGGCCATTCTCTGAGCCTTAGTCTCAGACTCCAGGTCTGCATGTGGTGCCCCCACATGTAAGGTGGGAAGAAGGGAAGGCAGGGCAATCCTTAGATCAGACCTCCCCCCTTGAGTCCTCCCATGTGAGGGACGGAAAGGTGGGGAGGCCTTGAAACATGAGCTTCACAGCATCAGAGTTGGAAGGCATGTGGTGGTCACGTTGTCCAATCCCCCCATTCACAAATGAGCCACTGAGGGTGTAACTGAGGTCACAGAGTAGGTGGCAGAACCTGGCATCAAGCCCAGGAGCTCTCCCTCCAAATGCGGTGTTTTTCCCATGGCACCATTCATGGAGCTGGGTGGGATGGTAGACATTGATTAGTCTGACACCGTCATTTGAGAAGTGAGGAGGAATTTGGGCCCCAGAGAGGGGAAGGGTCATTTTCCAGATCCCATGGCTGAGTAGTCAAAGATGAGCCTTCAATACAGGCACTCTGTCTCCTGGTCTGGTGGGGGGTTGCTTATTTTTCTTGTTTTTTCTTTCCTAGGTTCTTTCCCCAAGCCCTCCTTCCTGGCCCACCCTAGCCCTAACGTGGTCCTTGGGGAACATGTGGTCCTGAGGTGCACCCTGCCACTGCCAAGGTCATCCCCCAAAAGTATAATGTTTATTTTGCTGAAGGCAGGGAATCCAGAGCCTGTCCAGCCCTGCAAACAAGCAAAGAGAGTGGCTGAATTTCCCCTCCAGCCTTTGAGAGCCCAGGATCAGGGGAATATAGATGCATTTACTATGAGAGGCAGGCCCTGCTGAGGGGCTCAGAGCCCAGTGAGCCCCTGACTGTCTGTCTGACAGGGGAGAGAGGGCACCAGGCTCCAGGACCCTGAGCAGAGGTTGGCAGTCACTAAGGGAGGTTTGGGAGGGGGCATTATAAGGGGCCAGCGAGCACAAGATCCTCCAGGGATGGAGCCAGGACAGAGGGCCACTGGGGAGGTGCAATGGGGATGTGGGAAGGGGTCGCTCCAGTTCATCTCCAATCACTCAGAGTCCCACGGGTCCGATGAAGGCTGTGGGGAGCCCAGCCTGGGATTTATGCTTTGCCTCCCAGATTACCCGACCAGACCCTCCCTGACGGTCCAGCCCGGCTCCAGCGTTTCTCTGGGACAGAATGTGACGTTACATTGTCAGGGGTCAGCCTGCGGCACCAGCTTCGCTCTGTACAAGGAGGGAGAGGAGATGCCTGTTGGGACCGTCGATTGCACCCAGGACGAGGCTGAATTCCTCATCACTCGTGTGACCCACAACCGCACTGGGAGCGATAGGTGTCGCCGTCACACTGGAGAGCCCGACCTCAGCCCATCAGGGTTCAGTGATCTCTTGCAGCTTGAGGCCCAGAATGGGGCATGGCGCGGGTGAGCAGGGAGAGGGGAGGGAAGCCTTGTTGTGTCTGATTCTGTCACATCTCCAGGTGAGAGCCAATCTTCTGCTTGATCTCTCATTTTATGAGGCGCAAGTCGCCTTCCCAGGGTTCCTTCGGGATGAGCACGCTCATGGCCTGCTGCCTGGAAATTCCCCAGCCCCCCAATTTCTCTCCCCTATTATTTCCCTCAAACTCATGTTGGAAGTGCTTGGGGAAAAGAGGCATTGTCATATAGCAGAGAGCTGAGAATTAGTCTAAGCTTCCTAGGAAATGGTTTGGAATGATGATAGAAAAGTCAAGAATCATTTATCTCCTCTGACCCAGAAATCCCACCACCAGGCATATATTCCTCAAAGACGTCAATCCACAAAGAAACATCCTATATGGAAGGCATTATTTATAGCAGCACCCTCTCATTAGGAAAAAAGGAAGGAAGCAAAAAAAAAAAAGAAGGAAAGACAGAGAAAGAGACTAGAAGATAATACAATGCATTCCTTTTGATCTACAACAAATAATTGTTGATGTACATAAACACTTGCAATCTCTTTCCAGATGAAAAGAATGTACCTTTTCTGGAAAAAGGTAAGCCTGAGGGCAGGGGATTGGGTCAGGGTCCCCACAGGTGGGGAAAAGGTTTCTGTAATCTCTGAGCTGCCGTGTCGAGGTGTCAGAGTTCTGTTGTGCTACCCCCCAGTTAGGAAGTATGGGCTGTCATCTTCCAACGGTCCCCCTTGGGGTGAGCAGATTTGGGGCCTGGGGCAAGGGAATTTTGCAGACACCCAAACATTTCCCACCCCTATTCCTCCTCTTTCACTCACGATGGAAGGGCTTCTGCACAGGTTCCATAATACATCATTGGTAGACCTGAGAATTGGTCTAGATATTCTGGAAAAGTATTTTAAATTATGATAAAAGTCAAGAAATTGTTCCTCCCCTTTCACCCGGAGATCCCCCTACTGTGCCTAAACCCCAAAGAGGTCAATGGCAGGAAGAAAGACCCTATAGGGAAGAAAATCTCCCTAGCTTCATACTTTCGGTAGTAAAAGGAACTGGAAGCTGGACTCATCCTTTCTTCTCCACCATAAATGACTGTTGGGTGGCATGCATACTTCTAATCTGATATCCAGATAGAAAGGATTACCCTATAGGAGGAGAGGTGAGGCTGAGGCCAGGGCAGGATGGGTAGATGCAGGGCCCAGGGTTGGAAAGCCATGGCAGCTCCCGTCTTTGAAGCCTGATATGGCATTCATTCCAGACTTGTGGGGACTTATGCCAAAGGGCAGGAGAATGGGCCTGTGCTGGCTGAAGGGGCAGTGATAAGCCCACTTTGGGTCAGTGGCATTGGCAGAATCCTGTCCTCTCCAGTCCCCACCTGTGGAAATACTCGCCTTATCATGCTCAGTTGTGCCATCATCCTTCTCTTCTTCTTGGCCTCATTAGGTCACTGCTCCATTCAGTTTGGTGAGTTGGATAATGGGTTGAAGCCCTTAGTTGTGAATTAATAACAGTGTGGTGAAGGCTGAATCTCCAGAACTGACCTTGCTCTCTTTATGTCTTTCTCTCCTTGAAGAGGCTCCTCATGAAAAGACCTCTAGAAGGTAGGCAGACTCAACTTGCCTTCCAAAATTCCCACAGTCTCACCACTCATTGCAAACCCAAGCTTTCACCACTGGGTAGAGACCTTCATGGGGAAGGAATGATAATGAGGGTGCATCCAGAGTAACTCCACATCCCTCATCTTTCCTCTCCACACAGGTAGCAACATCTCCATCCCACTCATCCTAGAGCATCCAAAGAGAAAGTCACACGTAAGTAGTCTGGCCAACCTGGGTTGGATCTTGGGTGTATGAGGGAAGTATAATCTTGGGATCTTGGGAGGCTGATGAGAGTTTCTCCACACTACAGGTGAAGTGACTAAGAAGGGCTAGGACGTTTGTAAGTCCTTCCTACCTCTCTCCCTGGTTCTGCTGGCAAGCTGTCTCAAGCCCTAATGGGAAGTGGGGAAACCTGGAAGTCCTCTCTCCCACACCAGAGCCCACCCCAACCTTCCTATCCATTCCACCCCTCCTGGCTGGATGTGAATTCATCCCTACCCCTTTCAGAGGGAATTCACAATTTCCTATTCACTTCGACCACTGGACCCACTCATCCCCTTCCTCTCAATGGTGGTGGGATAAATACCTGTTGGACAAATAACCTGATGTATCCTAAGGACTCACAGGCCTCGCTCTGTACCTGAAACTTTAACACTCCCAGGCTTTTCCATCTGTCCTGCAGCTGAGCTTTCATACACATATTGCCTATATTAACTGGAGTGTGAACTTCTCAAGAGTGGGAGATGTATTCTTTTTCTATTTATAGTCTAAGTGCTTAACTCAGTGTTTGATACACAGTAAGCATTTAATAAATGCTTTTTCATTCATTCATGAAGTCATTCATTCAAACTCCTCCTGAGTAGCCTTGGTCCCATCCATGACCCCAAATCTCCCACATATATTCTTTTCCTAGTTTCATATGATTCTTATACACCCTCCAATGGCAATCACCAATTTACCCTCAGTTCCCCAAGGCTGAGGACACCCAGGGAGTGATATACATCCCACTGAAAATATATGTCCAAAGTGAGTGGGAGAGAGCCTCTACCACGAAAGGTCTAGATATTGCCCTCTGTGCAAGGATAGTCACGTACTCACAAGGCAGCAGAGAAGGCGGAATTTCCCTCAGGCTGAACAGAAGCTTTAAAGAGATGAAGGAAAAAATAGAGGAGCTAAGGATTTTCTAAATTCGGCATTGACGCTGTGGTTCTGAGCACCAGGAGCTCAATGCACCCATAAAACCTGCAGCTCCCTCCTCCTTTGTGTAGCCAACTCCTTTATCCCAAAGGGACCAGCTGGCATTTAGAACCTTTCTGTACCTTGGCCTAATTCATCTGGGCTGTGGCTCATCTTCTAGAAGCACAGGCCTGTGAAGAACAGCTGGACTTCTTGAGGAAACCCAATCATGCCTAGGTTGTGCACACCTGACTGTTAACTTCCAGCGTGCTGCTGTCTGAAGCACCCACAGTCCCAGATACAATGCAGTGAGGGACCGTGTTTTTCTTTATGGCTGAATCACGGTGGAGACGCAGTGAGACTCACTTTCCTGAGACAGCGGGGACATCCAGTCTAGTCCCCCCTTGGAATGTATTTTGCAAGTACTCTTTCCTTCCCACTCCTTTGGGCATTAACTGATTATAACCTCATTTCTTTTCACTTGGCTTTTGCACAACTGGTCCTCTCCCCCATCAATCTGGTTTGTATAGCTGGTCCCTCCCCTATCATTCTGGGTTTTTTTGTTTTGTTTGGTTTTTGGATTTTTTGGTGAGGCAGTTGGGTTAAGTGACTTGCCCAGGGTCACACAGCTAGTAAGTGTCTAGTGTCTGAGGCCAGATGCTCTATCCACTGTACCACCAGCTGCCTCTGACCCCAGATCACCTTTGAGCTCCCTGCCAGCTCTCTAACCTTGAGGAGACACTTCCATGGGGGGCAGGGCTATGCCCTCAGAATCATATCTGCCTGGGGGTCCCTAGCAGTCAGGAGACCGGGGGAGATGGGGCCTGCCTCCTCCATCCTAGACCACCCAGGACAGAGATGATGGTGGGGAGGCTCCTAAGTGAGCCCTGAACAATGGTGGAAAGAGAAACAATGGGAGAATTCCCCTCTTCAGAAAGTCTGGTCCTGCCTCCACCACAGGAACCCCAGTGACTTCCGTCTCTGGCCTGAGCTTTGGTTTCCAGAAATACTCACCGGACGCTCCTCCTCAGTGTGGTCATGTCAGTGTCAGGTGCAAACATGGCCTTCTTGTGTCAGTGGCTGGTCCCTCCCTCCCTGCCCCGCTGTGGTGACCTCACAGGAGCCCGTGACCATCCTGTGTTGGGGGGGAAACAAGGCAATGCCACTTTCTTTCTTGGTTCCCCACGAGCCTTAAGACGGAGGTGACTGTGCGTGATGGGTCCGGGGCTTTTCTCTTTACGTGGAGGGCCTGAGGAGCTCCGGGGGCCAGTGATCCTACCCAGCATGGGCGTGAGCTCCCCAAGACCCAAGAGAAACAGCCACGCAGTGACGCCCCGTGTGGCGGCTCCCGGCACACCCAGCCCTGCTGGGGCTAGCCCAGGCGGCCCTTGGAGATGGCCGTGGCAGCTGGGCAGAGGGGCATTCAGCACTGCCCAAAGAGAGCACATACCCCAGCTCTAGTGCAGGCCAGTCAGCCCAAGGACTGTGGTGTGACCTGGCCACGTGGTTGGGTGAGAGGCCACAGAGACTTGCTCTTCTCACCCCCTCCCACGTCTGGGGTCACAGGACCATGAGAAGGCGGTAATCTCTTATGAGTATGGGCCTAGCAGCATGGTACATCTGCGCCAAAGTGCACACACAGTTTTGTAAATTTTTGATCATAATGCCAAATTGAATTCAGAATACTTGTGCCCATTCACATGTCCAGAAGAGGGCCTCAATGAGTTTGTTTGCCTAGAGCCCCTCTGACATTTATAATTTTCCTTTTTTTCACCTTTGTCACTCAAATGGATATGGAACCTGAGAACTGTTTCAATTTGGTTTCTAATTAGTAGTGATCTTAGAGCATTTCAAAATATATTTTATATATTATATATTTTATACAATGTTATTTTTATATGCATATAATACTGTGTATTGTATAATATAATAAATTTTATGTAATGTATAAATATATTATATATTTATATAATAAACCCAGGCTATAGTCAGCCTGGGTT